CATGCCCTCTGTATTGGTGTATCTTATTAGTGTTCTGTTTGTGACAAGTGTGCCCCTTGCACTCTGCGCTAAAAGTTCGCAATCTGGTCATTAACATAAATGTAATTTTCAAATGTGATTAACTCTGACTGAATCTAAGTGGGTGCTCCGGTGGTGAGATGTTGACTACCTCACCTGGTATACAGGAGATCGTGGGTTTGACCCTGACGCCTGTATTTTTGAGTTTGCACGTCTCTCTTTCTGTGGTCGTGTGGATTTTTCTCCGGGTCCTCTGGTTTTTCCCTCCACACTTATAATCAATAGGCATTTAGAGTATTTGTCTGTTATAAATTTCTACGTGATAAACCACTTTGTTGAGTTATCATTTTGGCCAGGTAGCTTCAGAAAGAGAGCTGTATAGCTCAGTGGGCCTCACTTGGTGAAATAAAAAAAATGTTTAGTAAAATAGTTTAAGTGGATACCAAAACTAATTAATAATTAATACCCTTAATTTAACCAGGTGTTGTCATATCTCTGTCACAAGGGTTAAACATTATGGCATTTATGCCAATTTACTTGCAGGGGCTGTAATTTAATGTTTTGGATATGACAGCATTAGTTGTCCTTTGGAGAAACTGAAACCTGCCATAGGCATGTGTCATATACACAACTGGCTTATACCAATGGGAATGAGCGCTGCGTATTGTCATTTTGAGTAAAGGTATACAGTTTACCATGATGTATGTATGTTGAACTTCTTTCACACCGTACATAGCCAACTGTGCTAATCAGAGGTGCGGGGGAAGGACAACAAAAAAGCAGTTCAAAAACAATGAGTTTTCAATCTAGATGGTTTCAAAGTCTGTAGCTCCAGTGGCTTTCTAATATCGGAAGGAAGGGCGTTCCAGACGGCTGCAGAAGCGAAGCAACGGTAGCCTCATCTTGCAAGTGATGTCACAGTCTCAAATCAAAAGAGTGCACTGCTCTTATCAAATGAGCTAAGGGGCAGTGTCCATTTGTCTACGTCATTGCCGCCGTCCACAGGATTCTTTTTATCCTATGCATTGGTATATTCCCGCGAGGCCATGAACGTGTACCTGAGCCGTTAGTGGAAAAACCTCGTTCGCGTATTGGGGGCCAGTTTAGCCACAAGGTGGCCACTGTTGGATTTCCACAAAGTGATACCCATTTTATGGCTTTGGAGTAATGATGGCATGAATTGACCTTTGACAAGGGAGTTGTATCCACAGCCTACCAAATGTGATTCCTTCACAAAACCGCAACCGCATTGCACTGAATCATTCTCCGCTAAGTTTTAAAGAGCCACACTTTCACAATTTTTAAACCAGTGGGTAGATCGATCTACAGCACACACATATGTACAGTAAATACGCAGTTTTAAAAAGTAGAAACTAAAACGACTTTTACTAGTAATGACGATGATGACGATGGCGTGTGTATTCTTCCGCGGCAGCATCATCGCGAGCAGTTAAAAAGAGTCCTGAACGATGCGTACTCTACAGGAACCTCTCCGATAAAACCGTGAATGGTCGAGAGCTACAGGGGCGTGATTGGCGATCTGTAACTCTACATTTGGTGTGAATGGTCAAATCCACGATGGGCAAGATTTTGGTGTATACCCTATGTACTGTACTGTTGTGTGGTTTGCAAGGTATTGTGGGTGTTATCCCAAATGCCATGCAGCTTATTCTCCATTGTGCATGTATATCTTCGTCTCTGCATCTATATTTTATTATCCGATGGGCAATGTTATCCTCTGAAGGGGCCTTGCCCTGTTGAGTTTGAGCGGTGGTTTTAACACTCCTTGGAGATGCATGAACTGCTGAGTATTGTGCAGCGGTGCACCTCCGTTCACTTCCAAGGTTTACTGTTGTAGCTTGAGAAGGTGTTGTTTATGTCCTCGGTGAAAGAGTTTTTTTTTTTACTGTTCATTTTACAATCGCACACAGCGAGCCATTGGCACATTTTAAAATGGTGTTTGCGATTTTAGTTTCGCAAAAGAATGTTAGTGATGCTTAACCTTTAGGATGTTTGTTTATTTGTAACATATGCAAGTTGACTTCTTAACTGGTTTTCAGCCAAGCAGCCTTCATTTCACGATCAGAAGTGCATGTTTGTGGTTGTGTCAGAGTGCGTGCATGTGTGTATGTACACAAGATACATTTTTGGGTTGGGCCACTTAAAATATCTGACCAATTAATTGTCGTGAAACCCTTCACCCACCACGACGACCCAGCCAAACAAGTTAAATTGTCACGTGGCGTACCAGCGCTGTTAATCGGCAATTGTTATCGTTTCAGCTCACTGGAAAGCTGAAAAGCAACATTCTCACAAATAATTTTAGTATTCGATGTGGCGGTTTTGTTTGGTAATATGCCAAAGGCTCATCAGAGATGCAAAATCCCAGGCGTCAAAATGAGAAACCTTGTAAGTGACAGATATATCACAGTTGACCTAATTTTGATTTAAAGCTTTCGTGACTGCAGGGATTCATATTTTTGGTTCTTTCAGTAAAATCACGTAGAAGGGAAACAATAATGAAATTCTCACGACGTTTTGACTGCAACACAAGCAATCATCATCAGGTGTGAAAACCACAGCAAGAAAATTTGAAAACGTTAAAAAACCGCCACTTTTTTCAAAATTTATTGCTGTGGTTTTCACACCTGATGATGATTGCTTGTGTTGCAGTCGAAACTTCGTGAGAATTTTATTGTTTTATATTTTTATTATTTTATTGTTTCCCTTCTACGTGACTTTACCGAAAGAACCAAGAATATAGTTGACCTAATGTTTAGGATTTAAAAGTGTCTCTCTACTCAATTGATCAGTGCTGTATTTATGTTGGCGTTCCTGAGCCAGGGCTGTAAATTCGGTCTATATGAAAAGTGTTTTGGGATTCACCAGTGGTGGAATTTCAATATTCCTGTCATGGAGACCAGGCTCTCTCTGGAGGTCAACTCCTCTTGGTTTTTCCAAAAAGTTTTGCTGGTGTACATGGGTGGTTGGAGTTCACCCAGAATCTGGATTTAAACTCATGAGACTCCAATTGTGAGTCAACCATTTTGCCACTTTGTCGGCTGGCTTAATGACTCGTGCTGTGTTAATAAGTGCAGATTACTCATTGTTATCAGTGTTGTCACTTTCTCAGTTTTACTGTGTTTTTTTCAGCTTTTTGTATAATAATTTCAACGAACTGAATTTGCCATAGCAGCAGCAAAATGTTTAATAGCATTTTCATCTCGGGTTACATTTTCACTGTAGCAAGCATTGGCTTTGTCAGATTTTTTTTCTCAGCTGATTTTTTAAAATATAAAATTCAACATACAATTCCTGATGTCACATCCAATATGACTGCAGTGTTTTGTTGGCACATTGCATATTGCAATTTTTAGTTTGCAGTGAATTGCATTTTATTGCATACATGCATATTGCGAAAGCGTCCAAATGTAGGAATGCGCAATTTATATCTCTCTGCTTTGAACATTTGCATGACTGCAAAAAATGCAAAGCCCCAGTGGCTCTGAAAGGTAAAAAAAAAACTGTAGCCGCAGTATTTATATTAATGTAGCTGTGCCGTATTGCATGCCGGAATCTCACCGACGCATACACTTTCACGTACAAAGGCGGTGTGATTTATTTTACACTGCTTGTCGTATCGTGGCGCTGATGGCCTCTAAATGAATGTCCAGGAAAATCCACATCAGTGTAGTAGTAATAATAATAGTCAATAATCTCAAGGCGCCCTCCGCCTACGCTGCATGTTCTCTTGCCTTGTTGCTAGGATACCGTTTCCATGGCAATGCACCCATCCCATCGATTCAGGGCGGGTTTTGTTCTTTCATTCTCTGCATTCACTGGCTGCAGAGAAGGGGAAAAAAAATGAACGGTCCCACGCGGGATTTTGACGTCAGCAGGAACGGATGTTGGAGTCCTCGTTGCCAGATCAGGGATTTTACCTTTTGGTGTCGAGAGCATATTTTAAAATTGACACAATGAGGTAGTTTAAATGCTCCGAGCATCACACAGCATTAATCACGTACAGATTCACTAACTCCCAAATTCAGCTTAAGAAGGAATTGTTGCAGACATTTTTTCTGGCCGGAAGACTCAAAACTTACAAACTAGATTTTATCTGTAAAAATAAATACTTGCTCATGAATTACCTTTATTACAACGTTTTAATACGTGACAAAACATGCGTTTTTGTTTTAATCTTATTAATGATGGAATATGATGAAATAAATCATATGTCTTAGCATAAGTATATTCAGAATTTGTAAGCTCGTGTATTATAATGCTGGGTTGGGGTTTGGACAGCTGACCTTGGATTTTTTTTTACCTAAAACATTTTTTCATAGGAATCTTACATTAAAGAAAGCATCAACCTAACAGTCCCTTGTGGTCACGACTTCTTAATAAAAAAAAATAAACCACGAAATGTTTTTTTTTATCCATTGGTTTGCACGATTCCCCCCCACCCGTGGGGTCTGGTGGTGCTGCTCACGTGCCTCGTGCGCCCGCGTGTGCCCACGGGTTCGCGCGCGCGCGTACCGGCGTCCGCCCGCGCTCCCAGCAGCAGCTATGCCCAGCGGCACAGACGCAGCGGTCCCGGCGTCCCATCCGCCCGTAGGCTAGCGGATCTCGACGGCGCTTTGTGGGAACGGAGGAAAATCGTTGCGGCCGCCAGCCACACCCTCCCGCCTCTACCCCCCCTCCCCCGAAGCCCAGGAGCGCATCCCACGCCGTCGCATCCCGCACCATCGCGCGTCCCTGCCTTGCCTGCCCTCGCTCGCGGCTCTTGTTTTTTGCGCAATTGTCGTGCCGTGCGTGGCGAGGTGCCACCGCACCCCCCCCCCCCCGCGCTGGCAGCGCCACGTTACCGGGTGGCGTGCGGGAAGATGACCATGCAGGATGGAGAGGACGATGAGCCGTGGGAGGTGGAGGACCTTGACTACTACTACGAATATCTGGAGGGTAAATGCAGCGCGCGATCGCGTGTGCCGCATCGCGGCGGCGCTAGTTATAATTTTAACGATAATTGCAATTGTTAGTCGTGGAAAATGTCAATATTTAGTGCGTTGGAGTGAAATTAAGCATGTCATAGGAATGTGGAATTTCCACCGTTAGCTCGGTTATGAGCACTGTGCCACGCTCATAAGAGTCGGGACAACATTTGACTTAAAGAAATCGTATTATTGATTTTTGACTGGGTGGTGCTCGGCTCAATCCGATGGGAATGAGTTTAAATCCCTGGTTGGTTGGTATTTCAGCCCTGTCATCCCTGCATTGTGAATACAATCAGCACCACTAGGAATTCAACAGTGGCCGACCTATGTGGAGATTTGCCCATACCATAGTAATGTGGAATTTCCACCATGTGCCGAACGCCATCAGGCTTATTTCACCATGGGGGCACACTTCGTCACGTTTTAATATTGCTACATTTTTGCGTTTCGAGTTATATTGTTATTTGCCGCACTAATTTGATCTTGGATTCTGTCAGATTAAGCTTGTAGTGCACGCACGGACATCCGATTGGGATGTGAAGTGGAGGAGGCAGTGAATAATCACGTGGCTGTGTTGGAATGTGGTGATCAGTGTCCTTGCAGTGAAAGGGATGTGGATGACGCAATCCTTAAGACAGTCTGTTTGGTGGTTATGTATGATATAAGTAATGCTTGCAATGAGTCATAGGTTTAAATAACCTTTCACTTTATGCAGATGCTCATTTTAAAATGTACAAAATATAGTGCTAAGAACAATGAGCCTTCATGAACTGAACCTGCCAAAGTTGCAACAGCTGTTGTCATGCCCGTGGTTGTTGTATTTATTATTTAATGTTAATGTAAAAATTTAAAAAGTAAGTGCATGTCATTTTACACCAACATTCACAGTAAAAATAAATACCTCCTTTGTCCTAAAAATACAAATTTCGTCAGTAAAGCCTTCGTGATTGTCAATATTCAAAATTATCTGACACTTTTGTCAAATTCTGAGATTCACAACACCAGACTTCAGTTATTTTATGGTTCTTGGGATTTGGTGATAATTCCCGAGGCTCAAAGCATCAGACTGACTAATTGCTGCCGTCAGAATTTTCATGCAGAGTCATTTCTAAGACTGACCTTGCCAGACCAACACAATTTAAGACATTCATAATGTTACTTTTAATAACCGAGCTTTGGATATACAGTCCTGGGCTTTTGAATTTGTAGAGTCCAAGGTCACATCTGGACTAAAGTACCAATGCATGACTATATTTCTGTGTTAATTACCGAAGCTTATTGAGGTCGCGTGAATTTGTTTGGTTCGTGGTTCACGTGCTTATTGAGAAATCCACTTGCAATGTTGATGTTATAGATTTAACCTGCATCCATAGTCTCAGACGCGTCTGCTTTAACTGCAGTGTTATAAGTCGGCTGCCTGTAATTTAATCTGGACCAAATCGGTCATGCTGCTCGGCATGTTATTGATGTTTGCCGCTTTTTCACGAGTAGACGTGGCATTGTTCTGCCATTGATGTAGCTACGTGATGGTGCTCTTTAATCGCAGACCTACTTTAAACAGCGAAAGGAAGCCTGGATTATACCCATTAAATATTGCATTTATTACTAAATTTTCCCCATGTATGTTTAATGAGTTCATTATTATCGTATCTACATGCATGCATGTGGTTCTATCATTTATAATACAGCATTTGGTTTTATAGCGTAAGTGCGGAAAATGTTGAAATTGATAATGTATAATTTAAGGGGAGTGGTGCACTGTACTGTGATGACGGTCACCCAGCTTCTGTAAAATTGTATCTGAGCTGATCGTGGGGTATATCTAGGTCATCTCAGCCGTAAATTAGGACATGGTGCAGTGCGTGAGCGTCTCAGCAGTGGGCAGACTGGGTGTGGTGCTAGGCGTGGTCCTGGCCACACTGTCGCCTTCCTTACCTCTGCGAGATCGAGGAGATTCTCACAAATAGAACTTGCGCTGACATTTCATGAGCCCATGTGGGGGGGGTAAATCTTTGTACGTTTGCTGATTATATTGTAATTGATCTGCTATACTCACAAACTTGGCAGGTGCAACTCGGCTCATAACGCTTGATTCAGTGTTGGAAAGTCACGGGGTTCAAATCCTGGTCGTGAGTCACAACTCGACTTATCATCAACGGGGTTGTGTCTGGCCTTCTCTGTAGGAATGTGGATTTCCACTTCTTGCTCAGGGCTGCCTATGAGACAAAGCCTGCACATTTGAGCCAAGGTGACATTGAAATTTGACATTTCAGATTCGATTTATGTTTAATATCCATCTCCTTTTTTAAACGATGGTTGTTTGCAAGGTTAATTGTCTCGTGCTTTAATTTTTTTATCGGTGTTAGTTAATGCATTTAATCTATTTCATCATCAGCCATGTTCAACCCACTGCTGGATAAAGACATTTCGAAGCCACCACCGACTCTTACTTTCCTACGCTGGAATAAACCACCTGGCACCTACACACGGCATTATTCAAATAGATTAAGAACACTATTTTTTACAGCATTCTCTCAGTGGACCACAACTTGATTTAAAGTAATCCCTCCGAGAATGCATTGTTTCAGCCATTGGATGGCTGTTAGTGCAGCGACATGCACAGGGGCTTGCGCAAGGCACGTGACCATGACACATGGGTTTTAGCTGCATTGTCACGCGCTGGGAGCAGGCAGAACGGGCCTTATCCTTTTAGAGATTGTCAGCCGGCACAGGTTTATAATGGTGTGCGAGAATAGACTTGAGTTGGGGCTTTCAGCGCAGTGATTTCTTGGATATGTTTGAATTTGGCTTTTTCTGGCTCTTTTGAGACGAGGCAATTTCAAGAATTGTCTTGTACTGTCGACTTTGTTGAGTCAGCGAATGAATCCTTGCGATGGAAGGCACGATACGTCTCTTCTTCGCTATCTATCCCAAAAGTGGAAATTTGTCCAAATTTATTTTAAAGTATGATTCTCTGCCTTATGTGGCACATCATTTCACCTTTTGTCTTCCTTTATTCTCCAGCATTGGAGTCCAATATTGCTTCTCGCATTGAGTCACAGTATTGCCACACATGAGTGAAATTATATTACGAAATCACATATTATTCCTCCTTTTTTTCAATATGTGATATGATTATTGGTACGGACCTAACAGCATGTCACTGCTTTTTTCATTCTGTATTAAAATTATGTTTTACAAAAACACTGAGATGGCCAAGGGAGGGCAGTACAGCAAGTGGATTGTCACCCATATATACAGACCAATTCGCGGTTTCCCCTCCTATACGTAGATTTTTATGGGTACGCTGCTTTCGCCCCACAAACTAAATTCTCCCATCACATGGAATTGCTGGATTCTCCTGAAAAAGATTGCAGGGACACAGTGACGTGTTCTTGACTTCATGAATATAATTATTATTCATAAGGACTGTCTATTTAGAGCTGTGATTAGGGGATAGCACTTCAAGCCGACCTTGACCGCAGTGCAGGTGAAGGGGGTTTATTTTGTGCATTCCTTTGGACCAGGCAGGGTGGTGCAACCACTACGAGCAGTGAGAGCTGGAATTCTCTGGTCTATCTGGCCTCTAAAAAGCCATGGGGGCTTATCATAAGTAACCCCCCCCCCCCGCTCCTACCTTACTAAAGCAGTCACATGTGCCCAAACAGCTGTGCATGTGGGCCACTGACCACAGCTGACCCCAAGCCGGTAGTTCTAGACCAGACAGGAGGTTATCCGGATCCACGTTGCTCACTCGCCAGTCCTACGGGTTCGCTCGACTCCGATTTAGGGCATTTTGCAAGGAAGCGTCTTGCTTGCGCGCTCTGCAAGGCAGCGTTGGGGCAGGGCTGCCAAGGTGAAAATAGGCGACAAGTGCGAATCGCAAGCGATCGACGCGCCCGTCACTCGTTCTGGTGTTTATCGTGGCTGTCAGTAATACACTGATAGTATGATTATATCGCACGCCATGGATTAATTAAAGGGGGTCTACGTTTGAAAGTACTGTAAAATAATTGACGCATCCATTTTAGCGTAACCTATCATGAGTCAAAGTGGTCCGACTGCTCAATCAGCTGTGGGATTGTGCTCATTTTCACTGGGGTTCACGATAGCCTTATCTGACTGCCAACGAGAATTTTAACTGCATTGTATATTGATGACGAGTCAAGGCGTCTGCTGCGGTAGTGCCCTGCCTTACGTTCGGGTTACCTTTTGGGCATTGAAGGTTGGCGAGGATTAGGCCGAGAACACGCAGTTAGGGTTACGGATCGTGGTAAGGTTACCATTTATTTAGGGTTAGTGGTAAGGGTACCATTGATTTAGGGTTAGTGGTAAGGTTACCATTGATTTATGGTTAGGGGTAAGGTTACCATGACATACCGTGTTTTATTGCACGATTTAGGGTCCACAGCCATCGTACTGTCCGGTTTCTGCCATGGCAACGTGGAGTTCCTGCTGCTGGCTCAGGTGCTGTGACCTCTTGCTGGTTTTTGAGCAGAGAGACACTCGGACCTTTTTGACTCTCTGTGGTGCCGTCGCTGCCGTACAAACGACGAGGGAACGCGTTTCATTTTGGAATGCGACACCGTGTTCTCGCAGCCGATGGTGCCACCTCTCCTGGTGTCACATGACGTTCAGATGTGTCGAGCACGGTTGATATTCTCGTACCGCCCGGCCTACACTTATCGGTAGGGTTGCTTCTCGCGCTATGTACCCTTAATGGGGGTTTCCTCTTGAAATGCATGCACGTTTTATTGAAGTTAACCACTATGCTAAAATATGGTGTAGTTAAAGATAGCTTTCAAGTTGTAAGCTTGGACGTGGCTAATCTACTTTCTACAGAGTATATCAGTTTCACATTTTTGGCATTTTGCAGTGGTTGTGTTTTTTTGAGAGGCTGCACCCACCAATGAAGATGAGCGCCAACCTGGGGTTGTACAGGTGGACATTTGTCCGTTAATGAATGTAAACCATTCCATTTAAAAAAGTTTATACTTTCACAATAATTTCTCGACAGTGCACCACGAGTTTGTTAATCTATTGCATATTAACATTAGAAAAGAAGGGAAGCGTGTGCTAAACCAATTATAAAAAAAATTTGATGACAGCAGCATTCGTTAGATATTAACAGCACAACACGTTGCATTCCTTAATATGCACCTAATTTGTAAGCATTCAACACTCAAATAACACTCTCATATCGGAAACCCTTCCTCAAGCGGACGCTTGATAAACAAACATCATACCACCAGATAGTCTCGCTCGTACCAAGTGGTACGACCCATTCAGTGTCAGAGCAAGTCCACCCGCTCCCCACCCACGCCCTAACCAGCGAAATGGATTCTTCCAGGTGTAACCTGAGCAGCCGGCAGTTCCACTGACGCTCATTATGAGTGCACGGTCGGTTTGCATCGCCGCGACGAAGGGTTACCGCCGATCGGGGCTAGGCTGTAATCCGCACCTTCTTCGTCCCTGCGTGTGTAGAGTTAAAAGCCCAGGCTCGGCCTGGTGTCGTGCTCCCAATGTGGCCAGCAGTTCGTCAGCCTCGACAACGCGCGCACGCTGCTCAGAACGTGCGTGTGGCCGGGAATGCGGCGCTCGCTTGCTCTTACCGAGCAAGCGGACGCCTTCCCTGCGCGCTGCTTTATTTTAGCAGAGCGAGCTGGCGCGGCGTGGGTGGCACAGGCTAAGAGCACGCGGGCGGTGTTTTCTCAAGGCATACAAACTTGGCCGCGCGCAGACATACACGCTGGACCTGTGTATTTCGCATGATACGGAACACCGTTCTTCTTGCCATTGATCGACATAGCCCGGGCACCTGGACAGCTCGCGGCTAAATCGGCGATAACGCGCGCGCCCGGCCGGCGCGCCCGGCCGGCACGAGCAGCGTCGTGAGACTCAGCGCGTGCGCCGGGCTGGCCAGGGGCTGGCATGAGCCTCTCTGCGGAGTCGCCATGCAGCACGTCTCCTCCGCCGAGTGGTCCGACACGGCGTCGTACGAGAGCGACGGAGAGGGGGCGGCTGGTGGCGGTGTCGGCAAGCGTCGGGGTCGCGTGTTTGACCCGAGTGACAGCGGGGACGAGGGCACCCGAACCGAGGTGCGCGGCTCCCCGTGCCCAGCCGACGATGGCTGTCGTGAAGCCGCTGAAAATGACGAAATTTCATTGCATCTGATAAACGAAGGTGAGGGCCTCTCTCCCATTTCAACCGTTGGTGATGTCGTCGTCGTCGTCATCGTCTTCGGCAACATCGTTAAGCATTTGACGATGCTTAACGATGTTTCTTTTGGCTGGCCGTCGAACAAAGGCAGTCACCGCATTGTGCGCCTTCGGATGCGCTTCTGCGGCCGTCTGGAATGCTGTTCTGATATTAGGAAGCCACTGGAGCTCTGCACTTTTAATTGTAGATTGAAATGTGATTTATTAGGAAAAGCTTTTTGTGTTTAGTTTATTGTCCTTCCCCGCACCTCCGATTAGCATGGTTGGCTACGTACGGTGCAAAAGAAGTTCAACATGTGTATCGGATTTCAGATTTGTAATATATATCAGCAAGAAGGGCCCAGTGTCCCGTAAGGCTCTTTTTCATGGGTGTCCTGCGATGGTACAGATGTTATACAGTCCCGATCTTATTTAAAGTCACATTTTCATAGGTCACGATACAAATCGTAAGTATCCATACGTGCTTTACATGTTATGTAAATGGCGAGCCGTTCTTAAAAAAACATGACTACAATCTTTCATGAAAAATAAAAGTCACGTAACAAAGCAAAGGCAGTAACCGAAAACTTAAAGTATGATCCACGTAGACTTGAGCTTACACTTATTTGCCAATGTATTTACTACCACTACATCTACGAAGGAACTGGAGCTCCAGGAGTCAACGGAGGTATCTCCTGGTTGGCAACGATTCACCTCCCAAGTGTAATCCAGCAGCATTCCAAAATGAGGGAGCAGTCACCAAGAAGACCGTTTTTCAGCAGACTGCATCAGACCGAGTGATTATTGAAAGGTCGTTGGAGGAGCTTTGAAGGCTTTGTGTATTTTCTTTTGGGGTCAGCATCAGTGTTAACTGTAGCTTCGGTGTGGCAGATGTCGCAGATAAATGGTAAGCTGCAGCAGTAATATTGTTCACGCCATCAGCGGCTTCATGAGCATCATCGTCGTCAGAATCAAAATCATCACCTCCGTCATCAATCGAAGCGGTATCATTAGCAGCAGCAGTACCATCATTGTCATCGTCAATGCGGACAGCAGCATCAGGATTGTTTTAAACTTTTTCACACGGCGTAATTCCTGCATAAATGGTAAAGTGTTCCACTCAACCTAGGGGAGATATTTACAAAGCCAAGTTATAAAATGTAGACAGCAACAGGTCATTATGGACACTCTCAAATATACCACCACAACTTGCCACCTCTCCTTTTGCTCATGCTGCAACTGTTGAACAGTCGACACCTGGAACGTCCAAGGTCTACTCTTACAAGATCGACCATCTGGCTTCGTCTTGTGTGGCTTCTGCCTGCCAGTCCAATGCCTGTCCCAATTACTTTCTTCCCTCAATTCGGAACCAGTGGCTCACCCATCACAATCTCATTTCCCTGATTAACATTTCGATGACTTTCTGTTTTTTATGACATTCTATTGCCAACTTCCTAGTTGTTTATTCATCCGGTAATTATCGATGGAAACACAAATTAACGCTCACGATTCATGCAACACGTGATGTGTGTGCGAGAATCCATTATGGCAAATGGTTCCTGTAAAACCTGGTAGCATGTAGAATTATTAACCAAAATTATATTCTTTAGATATAACCGTACTTATATATTGACCAAAATATATTGTTATTCCAAACTTAATATATGGGATACTACTAGCCCCGTTAATTGACAGTTTGGTATTCTGTAATTCTCACATTATCTGGCAGGGGTGACGCTGTGCTTTGGGTGCTCAACTTTTGATCCTGGTGCTGGCTTCTTAACTCGGCCCACCGTTCCCCTGCGAGTGATGAAACGAGGGTCGCACCTTGCGAGAGGTCTACACTTAGGGGTGTCCCTTCGGAGTGACCGCCGGCGCCCACAACCAGCGGCGTGGAATTTCCACCGCCGGCTGGCGATTAGCGCTGGCCACGGTTGCTGAGCACGCAGACGCTTCTCCGATGCGAATATGACGTGAAGCCGGGGCCATCGGCCTGACCTGAGTAAAATCGACGCGAGCTTCAACGCGCATAAAACGCGCAAGGCTCACCGGCTGCAAACTATGAACTAAACATTTTGTTTTTATTTCACCAGGGAAGGCCCACTGAGCTATAAGCCTCTTTTTCAGAAGTGACCTGGCCACAAATTATAGCTCAACGAAGTGGCTTGTGTGGAAATGTATAGCAGCCATGGTTCTAAATGTGGAGGGAAAAACTGGAGGACCCGGAGAAAACATTCACGCGACCACGGGGAAAGAGAGAGAGAGAGAGACACGCAAACTCCAAATATACAGCAGGCGTCAGAGTTGGAATCGATCCAACGACCTCCTGCATACCAGGAGAGGTAGTTAACATCTCGCCACCGTCACTTATACCGACAGCGAGCAGCCCTTTGGTGAACAGGAGGAAGTGGACACCTTGTGAATGGTCGTGGATCTATTGTGTGACATTGCAACGTGCTGTTGCACACGTGTACAACTATGCAATACAGCACTAACAATGTGAACTTAGTCATACATTTTTTTTGTAATTTCCAGAAAGAGGGACACAGCGTTCCCTGATTATTATTTTTTACTTAACATTTTTACTTTGTATACACACGGGTAACATACACTACAGCACAATGACAACACGACAATACCTTGGTTGTGTGTGTGAACATAGTAGTTGACGTGTAAATAGTTGTTAGATAAGGGGGGGGGGGGTCTGCCTGTAGTCGTAATTGGTTGTGACACCCTGCAGCACATTGTGTCATCTCCAAGCAAAGCCCCCCGGTGTCTACCGGACACCATAGCCACCACCGTTATTTGTAAACACCCCCCCCCCCCCCCCACTGTGAGTCCACACGCCACCGGTTTGTATCAATGTGCCAGGATTGCCCCTGCTTCCGTGACTGCGGAGAGGGTGGGGTGATGTGGGTCTAACGATGCAGGGTACGCCGGTCCAAGGTTCATAGCAGTCATGAGTGTCGCCCCGTCTCCACCCTCCATCGTGACGCCGCTGTTTGCGTCGTCGGCGTTACGAAGGGGCGCTGGACACAGCCCGTTACTCTTGGGTTATTATTGTGAGATGGTGCGAGGCGCGACGATTTCGGGGTGTGTGTCTGAATTGGCAAGATGGTAACTGTTTTGTCGTGGTGGTAATGTTAGCGTGCGGCATGCGAAGCCCTCACAGATGTGGGTAACCACCAGGGCAATATGGCAACCTCAGACTTTATTCACATCTTTCAATGCAGGCAAGTTCAGTTGCTTCACACTGTCATCCTTACCACATTGTCTGGTGGTTCGTTTGGTACATTTTATTACCAGTTGGGGAAACCCTAATTCCTCCCATTTAGTACACTGTAGGCCGTTTGTTACCATATAATAGGCTGCATACCTCACACAGCCTTGCTTTAGTCTGCGGTTTCTCAATGAGCTGCCTTCCATTTCGAAGTGTGAACAGTTTTTTTTTCATTCAGCAAACTGAAGCACGCTCTTTGTTGAACTCGTGTTAATGTTTGCCTAGTTTAACTGGACATGTTGCTTTCTTGCCGCGTAAGAATTGTCAACACAACTTCGCAAATGTCGTGCATGCTATTCAATGTCACTGTTAGACTGTGCTAGAACGCATGCTACCGCTGCGACTTGCCGATCGATTAACTGGCGTCCTCGGTTACACTGCCACTGAAATGGTAACATGTTTAAATACTCATACCAGCACATTCACAAATATTTCCTCGAAAAATTGTGTTTGGTTTCCCAAAGCTTTCCTGAGACTCTTGAGTGCAGAGTGTGTGTCGACCTATAACAATGGAAACGGAATTTCTCTCTTCATTTTCGTCCCCAATTATTTTGATATTCCTTGCTTCATTGCACAGTGGTAGCAGTTGATTGTGCCACAGCATGGCCCCCTCCGATTAATGAGGCGGGCAGCATTCGCGCTTGCATCAACTGCCAATTGGGCTGCCGCTTACACTACTGTGTCTGCAAGTTTGTTCGTGCACATGGGCATGTGGTGTATAAAGTAATAATGAATGGCACTGTCTTAACCCTTTCCCGTTACGAGACGTCTGCAAGTTGCGGGGTGGGTGTCCCATTCACCGCTAAATCTCGGAACGCGCAAACGGCTCAGCGTTAAATTATTTGTAGGCGTAGCGCCGCTGTTTTTAAAGACGCTGTACTCACCGCAGAGAACTGTAGCGACACGACCGCACTCTACGATAGCTGGTGCCAAACCGTGCCGCACGCCCTCCCGAATGGCCTTGTGGAAGCCTCGGTACGTCTTCCGACCTGATTTATGATGTACGTGTACGTCATTGGGATGAGAAAGCATTCATTTGGCATCTTTACATGGCTGGATCGCCTGGTGGTAAGTGTGCTTATAACTTACCCATTGAGAATGGAATTGACGGTTTGATTTCGACTAGTGTGAGTAGCCTGGTGAAGTTTGCAGAAGACTACCTGAATATCCTGTGTGGTTATAAGTGGATTAATGAAGACCCTGTGATGTAACATGCAAGAGTAGAACACTGTGTGGCAGCTGTAAATATGCAGTTATTTAAATAATGAGCGGGCTTTGAGCTGGTCATGTTAAGATATCAATTCGCACCTCCGATTAGCACGGCTGGCTACGAATGGTGCGAAAGAAGTTCAACATACATACGATACAGATTTAATTAATTCGTTACAGTTAAGGGAAACGTGGCTATTCAGGAATATAACATGTAATTCCTACTCTGCTTTTACTGTTAGTGACAGGGCCTACTACAATACCGTTTAGTGAGCACAGAATGTGTTTATTCACTCGCTCATCGCAGGAGCGTGAGCTAGTGGCGATGACATGGGAAGGATTTCAAGCTGCACCCTGGCGAAATTACAGTCGGGACGACCTGGACCACGGAGTAAACCACTGTAGTCTGTGCTCCTTCATCGAAGGAGGAATAGCAAAACGACACTGACTCTCTGTTGAAGCCTTCACGAGGCTAAGCAGACCTTCACGTTGACATTTCGCTCCCGAAATTGTTGCCATATGCAAGACCAAAGTCGGAGAAGACGTTGAACCTGAAAAGACAAAATCTTACCGTTCATGCTGTCGACGTTACAAGAGACGGAATGTGTGGTGTATTGGTGCGATAGGTAGAATCTTTTTCCAAGACATGTCTGATATGCTTTTTTGTGTTTGTGATATAATTTCCATGACATAACAGCATTCTTGTCTTTGAGTTACTCAGAGAAAAATCAGCCACTAAAATCTCGTTTTTGCAGAAAATTACCTGAAGATGTTGGAATCTACATTGCTTATATTTATAGAGCTAAGGTGCTCTTTAAATATAAAATAAGATAAGTTGAAATGTTCACAAAACACCAGTTGGCGAGGTGCGCTTACAATGCTGGCAAGTATTTACGTCATTAAGTATGGCGATTAAACCAGAATCGGCTTAGCGTAACATCTCGTCTCGAATCCTGCCTGTCGTGATTTGCTTGACGGCGTTGTTTTGAAGGCAAATGCAGCACGTGAACGCACATTTTTGTAGCTGTTATCGTGTACACTCAAGCTCTGTTAATGAGAATACAAATGTTCGTAGTGTCAAAACATGAGTTATCGGAGCATTGCCAAAATTGCTTCCTCGTGGTGCGATTGGGATACACTTGTCACCCGGGTGTCACAAAAAAAATCAATTCGCCAGTGGAAGCCTCCCCACGCAATGTCGGTCATGAGGTTTTTAACAAAAAAAAAAAACCCGTCCTGTTCTTCGCCACACTGGTCAGTATGGGTTGGTGAAGGGAGGGGAGGGTAGGACCGGTTCTCATATCATCTGCCCCTGATTTCAGCCGTTGCCAGGAATCAAAATGAGATAACCGAGTCCATCACACAACGTGCAAACACACTGTTCTGTTCCACCGCTCCGCCGTATTAAATTAGTCTGGCTTTGTTAGTATTCGGTGCACATACGAGGGACTGCCGCTTGGATATTCTTGGCGCCATTCCCCCTCCTGATTAATTTACACGTATTATCATCAATTCGACTTCATTGTAATCACGTTTAATTACACCGCATCACAGAGCTGCACAGTGAGGCATCCACGCAGGCCGAACGTGAGTCCACAGCCACGCTGGCAGCCCCTCGCCCACACGTCCAGCGTGAGGATCCCGTTACCCTGGCTTTAGGCTCGTACCATCGAAATGCACGACGCCAATGCACTTGACCGTAAGGTTGTTGTTGTCGACGCACTGCATTGGCGTCAAATCTTGGAATGTTGATAAGGTTCACACTGGGCCTTGTGTTTACCAGACCTTGTTACGTTACCTGCCTTGTTAAACATTCCCTGAAACACCGTCACCCGACAGTCTACAGTGCACCATGACCCTCAGGCTCTGAGGTCATCCGTGTGGCCTTCCAGGACGTACACTCCAGTCACGCTGTGAAAAACGTCCTTCATCTAAGGCCTCTTCACATCCATATACTCCAAAGAGCATTCACGCAGTGTAATCGCTCAACCCTCGGCCTATTATGCACATTTACTACCTTATCATTCACATTTACTCCCTTTGTGAATGTTTTAATATTGTATACATTTTGCACGTTTGTTAATATTCGTGCTTGTGATTGCTGAGCAAGACGACGACCCGGCAAGCGTGTCCCTCGCTCGGTGTGCACGCACGGAGCGGGGTTCAAAATCCTGCGATGGCGACATTGGCTTCAAGGTTTGCTGAACGAGTGCATGAAGACGCCGCGCTCGCTACACGCAAAGTGCTTGCCCCAAGTGAACCACGACACCTCGCTGATCTCGTCAGAGGGAGCATGAACCATCGCGCGAACTCCAGTCATCCTCGCAGCGGCGGCGGCGTTTGGCTGGCGATCGAACAAAGATGGCGATGGCCGCATCGCGCGCTTTCCGGATGCGCTTCTGCGGCCGTCTGGAACGCTCTTCCTTCCGATATGAGGAAGCCACTGGAGCTATGCACTTGGAAATCTAGATTGAAAACGTATTTAATTAAAACTGCTGTGTGTTTAGTTCGTTGTCCTTCCCCCGTACCTCCGATTAGCGCGGTTGGTTACGTACGGTGCGAAAGATGTTCGACATACACACACATCAGCAGCTGTGAGCCACTCTCTCTCTGACGTGTATCATTATTATTTATTCTCATTTTATTCACGGCAGAAGATGTTTAACTGCCGCAATGTTGTCCGCGAATCTTTGGTTGGGTAACACAAATTACATTAAATAGCACCGAGTTTGTTTTATGTGTCTTTAAATGCACAGTAGGTATTATTGTCAGCTTTCGATTTGTATTGATTCTCTCTGACAAAAAAAGTATATTTTTCGATTTGAAATTTAAATAAGTTCGATCATTTGATTATCACCCTCTTGTCACGTGCCATGACAGCCTAACCAGGTGCTTCCTGAGAGCATTCATACGGCCAGGGAGCACTGTAATTAGAACGTGCCAATCGGCGAGATTTGAAATCGCGGTCGGGAATCAGATTAGCCCATCGTTACTCTCGGATTGATGGAATGAGTAACACTTTGATCTCCGTCAACAGGGGCTGTTCTGTGTATCCCGTTGCTCGTGTCTTGGGAATGTGTCATTTTCCACCACTTGCCCAGGGCTGCCATAGGAGATGAGTGATGAGTTGTTGCTTGTTTTGAACTGGGAGGCACTTTGACCCGACCAGCGTTTGACCTGATAGTCTTCAGGGCTAAGCTGAACTGTTCTGTCTTTGTGTGTGTGTGTGTGCCTGTACATAGGTGGGGAGCGCTAGTGTAGCGGTTAGCACGCTGTGCTACGAACCTGGAAACACGAGTTCGATTCCCACTCACAGTCAACACCTGTGACGATTATCTGTAGCGGTCCTGGGCCTCCCCCAGGTCGACTCAGCCTCAAATGAGTACCTGGTACGGTGTGTAAACATCGCCACTGGGGAGACAAAGGCGGCCGGGTGTGGTGTTGGACACCCACCCCCTCGTGTGCCGTTCCGGCCTTCGTAGGTGCTCGCTTAGAGCACTTGCCCCAACAGTCTCTGAAGGCTATACGGGGGGCTTTTTGTCTTTTTTTTGTACATAGGTGAACGCAACGTTTTCACGTTGGGTGATGATTTTGAAACATCAGGCTGTCTGAAGGATGCCTCAAGGTTACTCTTTCCATTGATTGGCTCAGTTCCTCTGTCACCCTTCGCTCAAGAGCAGATTGTCCTTCGTGGCTGGGCTCGTGGCTACAAACTGCCCCTTGTCAATGCAATCAGCCCAGGATTAATCCTATACACAGGACTTGCATACATTACAAAAATCGATTGTTTTCCGCAAGGGACTGGGTATCTGCATAAGGGACATGTGTCACCGTGGCTAGCACAGACTGCATGCAATGTTGCTTGATAGTGTAAGGCCTGTAATAGGGGTTAAGGGTTAGAGATTTGGTGTTGGGGTTGTATTAGCGCTTAGGAGTTATGGATTAGGAATAGGGATTAGGGTCAGGTTCTAAGAATTCGGTGAAGGGTTGGGGATTGAGGATAGGTTACGGTTGTAATCGTGGTATGTTCGAAAATATTTCGTCGTGTTTTCAAATCGCTGTCAATTTCACGTGATGACTAAAAATGCGATTCCAAGCTTATTTAAAAGTCCACACACTATAGTTATGCGACCATGTGTTCGAATCCCAAGCTTCCAAGACCAAGGCAGTTTTTAGGTGTGGCAGTATTTAAAACCACACCCCAGTCCCCCATGACAGCACACACGTCAAGCACCTGGTGAATTTTATTGATCGCTTCAGTGAAGACGCAGCTCCTGGCTGTCCCGAATGAGTTTGGTGCTTTGATAATGAGGACCACAATCAGGCGCTAAGTCACCCTGCGGTGGTGACTTCACTGCTTTTAGAGTCGTGTTGAAATGTACTGGAGTGATGTTACAGTGATGTCACAGGAGTGCGATAATCATCCGCTTTCCTCTTGTAAATTAGTTTATGTTTATCATTAACCTATCTTTGAAAGTCGACCGTCATGTATTCACGTTCACTTATATTTTAACCGTGCCGAACTATGAACAAAGACTCAACACGCTCGTCAACAACACCGCCAATAAAGAGGTGTGACGTGTTGGTCAATGACCCTTCTCAGCCATCCATTTGTCTATGAACCTCCACTACTTATCGTCTGTTCGAGGTCCTGGCTGACGTGCGCGCTATGCTGCTGCTGCTGCTGTTTTCTTCTCCTTCAGTGCTGTGTGCCGAGAGGGTGGGGCAGATGACCAAGACCTACAGCGATATCGACGCAGTGACGCGCTTGCTGGAGGAGGTAGGCACGTCCGCACCAAACACCGCCTCGCTTCAACGGCCATCCTCTCTGCGGATTGCGTAAAACTCTCCTATCAGGTCCTACACGGCCACACCTTAAATGTCCCATCATCCTTCTGGGTTTCATAAAATGTTTACCGTCTTGTGGAAAGTCAACAGCGGCGATCGTACAAAGAGGACTGGTCCCCGTAGTGGAAATGTGGAAATAGCCACCACTTACTCACGCATTCGCCTTTGGATATGTCTGCTACGGTGCTTCTGCATGGTTACATTTTTGGTGTGGTTATGATTTTTTTTATAAATTAAAAAGCAATACTCTTTGGTTCTTTCGGTAAAGTCGCGGCTATCACGATTTTCACCTGAAGACGGGCGCTTGTGTTGCGTTCGAAACGTCGTGATTTATTTTGTTTTATTTATACCTACGTGACTTTACCGAAAGAACCAAAGAGTATGGATTCCTGCAGTCACGAAAGCTTCGAGTCAAGATTAAATAGCAATGCGCCGGTACTGTGATGGTGGCTGCTAAGGTGTGATATATACGTGGTGAAGTATGGTCAAATAACACCTTCAACCCCAAGGAGGTAAAGAAGTCTTCATCCAGCAATGTATTGACAAAGGGCTGTACGATTCAGTACAAAGTAGTGGTAAACATTTAGTTTCATTAGTTTTTTTCAGTCAAAACTGATTTTTGTGTTTTTAATTTGCTCTTCCTTCCCCTGCACCTCCAATTAGCACTGTTGGCTAAGTTATAATGCAACAAAGAAGTCCAATATACATAACACACAATATGCACAGCATTCAATTTGCCACTGCATTGACGTTTCAACTATTGGTTGTAAATCAAGAGGCGTCAAAGTCCCTCTGCCAAACAAGCAATGCGACAGTGCTCATTTCTTTAGAACCATAACCTCTCCTGGAAATTCCACAGTCCCCTGGCAAGGCTCAGTCTCTCCATGGGACAACCGCGATAGGACAGCATCCCACATTGATTCTCGCTTTATTGACCTTCATTGAATGACGAACTAAGTTTACCACTGACCAGAGTTTGAACTTGCGACGTTGCGATTGTGAGTCAAGCACTCTGACTGCAGCATCGTCCTGCTGGATGTGCGTATGCCGTAATGTACGCGTTACCCTGTGATGTCATTCATAAGAGTAGGCTGCTGTGTGGGTGTACAAATATTGCTGATATCTGAGTTGGCGCTCTAAATGTATGACTTTAGGGCGCTGTGATATTTCCTCCAATCATGACCCTCTTATCCACTCATGCTAATACTTGCACCACCAATCAATCTCTAGAAACTCCCGTTATACACAGATATATTCTGTCTCGAAGTGGTCCCTTGAAGTCCTAAATGCAGACTATTATTCCTGGGGGTTGTTTGTAGATAATGGCAGTGGAGCGAGTAATGTATTATATTGTTCTTGCTATCCGTAGTTTGGAAGTGGTCTCCTGGAAGCATTATAGTCACGCAATTCTTGACTTGTGGATAAGAGGAGTCACCCAGTGATGGATAATAACCTGGAGGATTTGTGGTCCGGCAGTAGCTTTCCACAATGCAAAGTGCACCGTTTAGGAAGCAAATCTGTCACGAGTTGAATATTTGGCATGTTCCATGAGATGGCTAGTGATGATAACCGTATATTTTTATGAATACAAATTGCCTTGTTTACCCACATATTAAAGATGTGACACCTTGACTCTATTCCTGAGTTTGAGTGTTCGTCACAGCGGTTACGAAATGCCTGAGTCTGTTTTTGGTTAAACACTCTGTTTGTTTCTATAAACAGTTTTGCTTCAGCGCATTGGAAAATTAAATTCCCTCTCAAATGTATACGGCTCGTGATATTATTGTGCTGGTAATATCCACCCAAGTGGCACTGGTTGGAGCGTCGCACTGAAAATATAAAGGTCACGACTTGAGACCCAAGTCACGGTAGACTTGGCCCTTCATCCTTTTGTGGTCGTTATTATTAGTACCACTCTGTGGGAACTCTCTTGAGGGTGTCCATTGACCATGCTGGCCCCTGCCATAAGAATGTGGAATTGATATCACTGACTCTGGGAGGTAAAATATTACTTGCTTGTTTGAGCAAGTAAATAATTCGTTTGCTTTCGTGACTGCAGGGATTCATATTCTTGGTTCTTTCGATAAAGTCACGTAGAAGGGAAACAATAAAATAATAAAAATATCAAACAATTTTATTGTTTTATAAAACAATTTTATCGTTTTATATTTTTACAATTTTATTGTTTTATATTTTTATTTTTTTATTGTTTTATATTTTTATTTTTTTATTGTTTCCCTTCTACGGTAACTTTACCGAAAGAACCAAGAATATAATTAGTTTTTCATTTATTTTATATGTAAGTGTGGGTTTGCGTGTGCGCGCATACGTATACGAGTTCGCACATTTATGTCGTTTCGCAATATTTGTACAGCGTCTTGAGGCGCATTGACAATGAGATGCATTATACATCCAAATGGATGTTGTTATACATGTGCATGTGCGTGTTTGCACGTATGTCTGTATTTGTGAGAGTGGGTGGTGTTGTGACATTGATAGAAGAGCGGTTAGCGCACTGTGCTACAAACCAGGTGACCTGAGTCCGACTCCTGTTTACGGCCAACACCAGTGACGTTTATCTAAACTTATCCTGGGCCTCCCCTAGGTCGACTTAGCCTCAAATTAGTACCCGGTGTGGTGTATGAACATCGCCACTGTGGAGACCAAGGCAGCTGGGCGCAGTGCTGACCACCCAACCCCTCATGTACCGTGCCATCATTCATAGGTGCTCGCTAACAGCACTTGCCCCAAATGTGTGTTCATTCTCTACAGCGGATTTTTGTGTATGTTTTCTGCTGTTGTGGCACAGTAGTTGCACAATGCGCTACAGTCCTAGTGACATGCGCTCACGTGTAGCGGCAATTTCTGGCTGTTGCCTGATGAAGCTAGATGTAATTACTGGCGAAACGTCGTACTCAGGTTGTAAATGTTGTGGCTTGGCTCTACAAAACACACAACCGGCGTGCTGTACTATTGACGAATTGTCACGTTCTGTTTACGTGACAAACCTTACTAGTTGGCTGTGTCGGGTGGTGGGAGGGTTTAGCGACACATTTATATATTTACGCGATCTAACCCCAAAAAAAAACCTCTATTATGAGAGGTATTGATCCTTTGCACGACAAAAATGTTGTCCCATTAGGATCCCTTTGCCTCGGTGAGTGTCAGCCAATACTACCAAATGAAACGTTGCCCCTAAGTTATCCTTAATGCGTCGGCTTTCTGCAGATATTCCAGGTTTTTCCTGTATGGAAAATTGATAAGTAATTGGCTAAAAATATTGTTTTATCATTTGTTTTCGCAGCTGCTTGGGAAATTGCAAAACAGATCTTTAATGTTCCTGTAACTTGGTTTTCACAGGGTGCTTTATATGCCAATACTGTAACGCATCTCATTGCATCTCGCTGCTATTTCCCAAAATGACGATAGTTGATACTTCAATGGACATTTATATGATAAGATGAAGAACATTGATCATGCAGTCATGTGCTGCATAATGAAAATAATTGGAATATTCTGTTGAAGTGCAGAATTATTTTTATCATCCGTCTCAAAGTCACCCCAGAGGGTGTCTGTGTGTCTGTGGTTTTTTGTGTGCATGTCAATGGGTGTGTTTGTGTGTGAACGCATGCTACCGTACGCATACGTTTGTCATGTGCGTACATTGGAATACATTTGTGTTTGTGGATTGATGTATGTGTGCGTATTTGTGTGTATGTACGTGTTAATTTGTTTGAGTGTGTGTGTATGTACGTGTTAATTTGTGTGAGTGTGTGTGTCTATGTACGTGTTAATTTGTGTGTGTGTGTGTACGTGTTAATTTGTGTGTGTACGTGTTAATTTGTGTGAGTGTATGTACGTGTTAATTTGTGTGTGTATGTACGTGTTAATTTGTGTGTGTGTACGTGTTAATTTGTGTGTGTGTACGTGTTAATTTGTGTGAGTGTATGTACGTGTTAATTTGTGTGAGTGTATGTACGTGTTAATTTGTGTGAGTGTATGTGTGTACGTGTTAATTTGTGTACGTACGTGTTAATTTGTGTTAATTTGTGTGAGTGATGCATTGGATAGAGACCAGACTTCGAACCCAGTTATATTGCTTAACTCCCCAGCCTTGGATATCATCAGTACCGAGTGTTATCTGAACCTGCCCTGGGTCTCCCCTCATTTGACTTAACCTTGAAGCAGTACCTGCTGTGTTGTGTAAAAGTCAGTACGGCACTTCGGAAACAAAGGGGGTGGGTCGTGGTCTTGGCTACACGGCTCCCTCTTCGTTAATTCCATGCCTTAGCACGGCGTTCTTCATCACAAGGCCCATGGGCCATTGGTGGCCCCCGGTGCCCCCCCCCCCCCCCCGGCAATATACAAATGGTGAGAACTAAACCCTTTGCACTGATGATGTCTCATCGGCTAAAGTGGACCCCCCCCCCCTCTGAAAATTATTGAAGAACACCGCCTTAATAGATGCTCTCTAACAGCACTGTGGTTAATAGACTATCAGGCTGTATTGGGGATCTGGATTGCGTGTTTGTATTTTTGCGTGTGCTAATGTGTTTGAATACACACCGGCCTTAGGAAGACACAAGCAGATGGCGTGGTACTGACCCTACCACATGCTCATGGAATTGATTGGTAATTTCCCAACATACTTATTTAACCAAACCAGCAAGGGCATCTTGTGTTCGTGTGTGAGCACACATTATGGGCACGCGTGATGTGTGCGTGTGGCTGAGTGGCAGTGAAGCGGTTAGGGCGCTACGTTTTGAACCTGGCGACTCGAGTTTGATTTGCCCCACACGGCCAACACCAGTGACGATTATCTGAACCGGTCCTGGGCCTCCCCTAGGTCGACTCAGCCTCAAGTGAGTACCTCGTGTGGTGTGTAAACATCGCCAGTGGGAAGACAAAGGCGGCCGGGCGTGGTGTTGGGCACCCACCCCCTCGGGTGCCGTGCCGGCCTTCACAGGTGCTCGCTAACAGCACTTGCCCCAACAGCCTTTTACAGGCTATATGGGGGATCTTTGTCTTTCGACATGCATGTGTAAACAGTCCGCATCATTAGGGCCGCTGACGTCATGGCAGAATGTGTGCTTCATGGCGATTGTGTTGAGTACATGAAACACGACACAGTCAGGCTTGACAGTCCATACAGCAGCAGCGTGCCACTGAGGGGTTGTTGTCCACTGTGTATGTGTTGTGTACACTGTATTAACACAGTGGACACATAACATGGTGCACGTGTGTTGTGTAAACTGGTGATTACCATGTCCTATTATGAGTGTTTTAAGAAAAAGTAAATTTGTTAGCGTCTGGTGTGGCAGTTGACCCAATGGGAACATTTCTTCAATTCTCCTACCTCTGTCCACTCTGTCCACCCATTGCTATGAATGGGCACTCCGCAGGCAATTCTAGATTTGAAGCTTTCGTGACTGCAAGGATCCATACTCTTTGGTTCTATTGGGTAAAGTCACGTAGGTCAAAAATAAAATAACAAAAATCACGACGTTTCGGCCACAAAACAAGCAGCCTTCATCAGTCTCGTCCCTTCACCTGATGAAGGCCGCTTGTGTTGTGGCCGAAACGTCGTGATTTTTGTTATTTTATTTTTTACCTACGTGACTTTACCCAATAGAACCAAAGAGTATACTCCGCAGGCACTTTAGTACATCGGTACGTCGAGTGTGGTGGGGTAAAGTGTGGGTACCCTCACCTCTTTTAAAAGACCGTCGAACGAGTATAGAAGAATGGGCCAAAAATTTCCTCTTTGAGGTCCTTCTGCCAGTAGTGGCATGAGGAGGACATTGCAGGGCCGCACCTTTACCTTCTAGTGATGCGGGGTGGGGTGGTGGTGGTGGTGGTGGCGCGCGACCATTGTTGTTGCCTTGCAGAAAGAGCGTGACCTGGAGCTGGCAGCACGCATCGGGCAGTCGCTCCTCAAGAAGATCAAAGTGCTCACGGTGCGCAATGAAATCCTGGAGGAGCAGATCGAGCACACCACGGAGGAGGTAAGGGGGTGGCCCCCTCCCTACCCCCCTACGACGAGGGACCTCGACAACGGCCGCCAACTCTCCACCAAGCGGCGGTGGCGGTCACCACGTTGGCTTTTGCCTAACTAGGTGCACTCTGAGGCTGCGTGAAGTGTGAATGGCTCGCCCACAGGAGGTCGCGTGACAGGACCAGGAATCTTTATTTCGACTGGAAGAGGAATCCGATGAGCTATGAGGCTCTTTTTCACAGATGTCCGGCGTGGGCGGTGTTGTGGGTTAACAGACAGCGGTGACCCTAAAGTGATCCACCTGCGCTCCCAAATGTGCCGAATCACGTTGTTTTAGTTGCTCAGCCACCTCCTGTTGTTGCTGGAGCCTGACTGCCTCCTCCTCCTCCACGGAGGGCTATCTTGAGATTGTCTGTACCCACTTTTGGCAAGTCCAATTAGTGTCATGTCCTCCAATACCACACATCTGCCCATCTGTTCTCTAGCCCATGCCAAGTATGCAGTGTATTTATATATTTTCTGCAGCTCAACTCTGTTGATTAAAATTAATACGTATATCTGATGAATGGTATTTTACAAACTAAACTTTAGATATCAAGATGGAGTAGTTCTGGCTCGTGTGAAGGCAATAGGTACTCATTTAAGTGACTCCATAAATACAGACGTCCCTTGCTTTATGCCGGTTCCATCGTTAAAACGAAGGTGGAACTTCCACCGCTGAATCACGATCAACAGTGACCACACCTGGCCTACTCCGGTTTGGACTTTGCCGTTTGACTTTGACTGCGTGGGTAATTGCGAGCGCGCGATTTAGCCAGAACCTTGCCTCCTCAGGTGGCGCAGCTGCGCCACGACTTGGCCTTGAAGGAAGAGCTCCTGCACATCTACACGAGCACGGCCGACGAGAATGACAACGACACGGGGGAGTCCACGCCGCCGCCGTAAGCACTCAACTATTCAACCATATTTGGTCTTTCTCAGAAGCGACCTGACCACAGTTGATACCTCAGCAAAGTGGCTTATCACTTAGAAATTTATAGCAGCCAAATACTCGAAGCGCATGTTTCTAAATGTGGAGGGGAAAACCGGAGGACCCAGAGAAAAATTCGCGCGACAACGGGAAGAGAGACGGGAATACTCCAAATATACAGGCGTCGGGATCGGAATCGAACCAACGACCTCCTGCGTTCCAGGCAAGGGAGTTAACATCTCGCCACCCCGACGGAACGCAAGTGCTGTGGCGTGGGAGCGCGTGCGTGGTGCATGCAAGACTCACAGCAGGAAGGAATCGGAATCTTTATACGGCAGATGTTCAGTAGGGACAGGTCAGAGAGCTATAACAACCAACAATATAAAAATACGATAGGAGTGCACATTATAGGAAAGGTAAGCAAATCACAACAAAAAAAACATAATCTGCTGGGAAACGTGATTCCAGAATGTTCTAGATTTAATTGAATGTGCAACCCCAAAACAAACCAAATGTGTTTTTTTGTTATTTCCTTATCAAATCAACATTGTCCCACAGTCGTTTGACAATCCACCTCGAATGAAACACCGTCTAATCGTCTCATGGACTAAATCTCTGGCACATCCCGATTGACTTCACGTGGCGGGCTTGCAGCATACACTGTGCGCGTGCCAAGTGCCCTCACATTGAGAGCTTCAGTGGTCATTCAGTAATTTCTTCTTGTTTGGTCGCTTGTGGCACACAACCAGGGGAACCCAGGAGAAGTCTGCAGGCTAGAAATAAAACCGGTCCGCTCTATCGGGGTTGTGTCTTTAAAAGGTGGTGTGTCTCACTGTTTGGCATTTATTTTTTATATATCCACTTGACAATGATGTTTGGTTGTGGAGTTAATTGTGTTTTAATCTGCTTCAGTTGTCATTGAGAGCTCATGTTGACGGTGTGGTGGTTGGTGCCTGGTCAGACACTTAGCAACGGCTAACCCGTCTCTAATTTTAGTTTTTTTTATGGATGCCATTGACCTACTCGATGGCAATCGAGTGGCAACCATAGATTGGTAACCAAAGAAAATACCTAAAGTCAGATGTGGGTACTATAGGTGTGCACCAGGGAGGTCACTTGTTGGCTGTGCAACAGCTCGGGGATCTGGCAGAAGGAAGCAAGCGACGGTCACGTGTGGTGGCAGCACTAGCATTACCAATGATGGCCTTTGACCTTGTCATCATGTACACAAACCTTGCTGAGAACTCTGATTTTTTTTTCATCGTGTAAACGGCCGCTGGTTAATTCTTCGTTAAATGCATTCTCAAGTAATGCCACCTTACGTCGTAAAGATAAGGGTTATAGCACAAAGCAAGTATTCTCATTGGCTCATGATGTGTGCACAAGTGTGTGGTTTTGTAGGTTTAAAAGCTGGGGGTAAAACCTTCTCGGACCTGGCCAACTTCCCTGTTGTGGTCGTGGCGTTTACTTGGGCGGCAAGGTAGCACAGCGGTCGCACTGGAGCCTCGCAACAATCACGGGCTGGGTTCGATTCCCGACCTGAATGCCTTTCTGTGTGGAGTATGTATATTCTCCCCGTGTTATGCAGGGGATTCCTTCCATTGTTATAAACAAACAAATACAATGTAACTGTATTGGCCAAACATCCCAATGCTACCAAATATATATTTGAAAACTACTCGATTAGGATTATCCATCGCAACATTGCCCCCCGACTGCAAAAGAAAAAATTGACACACTACCCTATTGAAAAATAATTTTGAGACTCGATGAGGCTTTCCTGGTTAAAAACGTGTTATAACAACAACAACAACAAAATAATAATAAGAACCTGTGTGGGGGTGGTGCAGGATGGAGAGCTCTGGCTGCTCGCTGTCCATCGGTCAGAATGTCCTGCACATGGACAGCTTCCACCGCAAGCTCAAGGAGCTGGAGGATGAGAACTTTTCACTGCTCTCAGAGGTGGGAGGGGGGGGGGGGCCTTACAATCTCCTTCACTCGTCCTCTCTTCCGCTGGCAAGGAATCCTGGCTTCGTTCCATTGCGTGACACTCACAACGTGAGGACCCGGGGGTCCTACCATGCATATGCGACTTGCTGCTTTAATCGCAAACGTTCTCTGTGATGGAACAAGAAAAATGAGGAAACAAAATAGACAATTGGATGACCATGTGGTTTGCAAATTGTAAATGGGCTCTGGTGGAAAGAATGAAGGTAACAAAATGAATAGTCGGATAACTGTGTGGTTTGCAACGCTTGCCATTGAGTCACTTGAGCTCAGCTGCACAGTTTTGCAGAGGCCACCGTTCAAGCCAAGTTTATTTGTTTGACCATCTGGGAACTCAAGTGATGCGGCGAGTTGTCATGACACTGATGTGCCATCTTGCTCTCCCTTCTCATATTAACATTCTGCCACACTAATCCCCATTGCGGCCTTGAGCCGGTGGTTGAAATTCAACATTCTTATTGAGGGCCAGTCCCTCTAAATGGTACAGATTTGCTTCCTTAGTGCACTTCTACACTGAATATCAGTTTAGTAAAACCATTTTTACTGTAACTGAAGAAAGATAGAACTCAAAATGTTTGTATTCTCCATAAAATCATTCTTCCCACAATCTGGTACCTGATTTATTGACCACGAAAAGATGATGAGCTGGGTGGGCTCCCGACCGCAAGTGATCGTGCAGTTCTCCCCGATTGAGTCAAGTGCTCCGGCCAAGTACATGACCTTTCAACCTGCGGACCCGCGGGGCTCCTCTGAGTACTCCTCCCACACAAAGATAACACTTGATAAAAAAAATGAATTGCCCAAACATTCCAATTCAGTACGCTGTAGATAGTGAGCCCTGAGACCTGAGTGTGACTTTCTCCTATACAATACATGATGACACTTTTCGTTGTCGTTTAATAGGCCTCTCACTTGAAGAATGAGACTCTGGACTACGAGGAGAAAGAGCAGCAGCTGGTGACGGACTGTGTGCGGGAACTAAGTATGTTCCAGGAGGAAATGCGTGAGTGTGTCATCCTGCGTGCCCATCCCATGCTGGATTTTGTTTTTTCTTTTCCTCATTTACTCATTTGCTGAGGTTCGCTAAACCATCCGTATTCCCATAGTAGCACCCTGATTTTTCGATTTAAAGCTTTCGTGACTGCAAGGATTCATCTTCTTTGGTTCTTTCGGTAAAGTCACGTAGAATGAGAATAAAATAATAAATTGATAAAATAAAATAACATAATAAAATTCTCACGACGTTTCGGCCACAACACAAGCAGCCTTCATCAGGTGAAGGGACGAGACTGTCTGGATGAAGGCCGCTTGTGTTGTGGCCGAAACGTCGTGAGAATTTTATTGTGTTATTTTATTTTATCCATTTATTATTTTATTCTCATTCTACGTGACTTTACCGAAAGAACCAAAGAAGAGCACCCTGATTGTCCCAAGGAAACTTACGATCCTGCTCTAGTTGTGTACAACAGCTCTAGAATCAGTCAGTTTAATGAATTTGGCAATTTACTTGTATATCATTATATTAATTACACTTATCTGTCTGTCTATCATTTATCTACCTGGCTTTCCCTTTTTATTTGCATTGCTTCGTGGGTTACTTCTACCGAGACTGCTGATAACAAAAACAATCTTACCAACGTATTGTTAGGCTTACGACCAACATACTGAGAATACCAATACACACTCATCCACCCACTGTTAGGTTTCAGGCGTCGACCAGGAGGTCATAGCGGCCAATGCTGTGGTTGCCGCTGAGCACCGCCACCGTCGCTTCCTTTCCCTCTGACGCGTGCCACGCACGGTCGAGAGCCCGACCGTGCGTTGCTCGGGCCCTGCCCGGGCCCTGCTCGGGCCCTTCTCACGCCTCTGCCAGCGGGTCCCGGCTCGAGCGTTGACGGCGCTGCTCGCGCGTTGCGTCCGCAACCCCCGCAGGGGCCTCGAGCGCGCACATCGCTCAGCTCACCGAGGAGCTGTCGCGGCGCAGCGAGGACGCGGTGAGGCAGCAGGAGGAAATCACCCAGCTGCTCTCCCAGATCGTCGACCTGCAGAAGAAGGTCAAAACGGTGAGTGGCGTCAGGGAATGAAGGGGCGGCCGGCCGGTTGGCTCGCCGGAACTGATGTCGTCCGTGAGCGTTGAAGCCGCCACTTGTGAAGCCGAGGGTTTGTTATCCTGGCAGCGGTTTCGGTTGGTGGTGTGAAGCCCTGTCACGTATTGCGGCATATTCCAGCTCTGTGGATTCAAATGTTCAGTTGAACTTCCGGAAGCGTGTGACCTTTAAGAGGAGCCGCCTCGTGTTGAAGGCACTTCAGAAGTGGTTCTGTGATGCCATCTTGTGGTGGCTGTGGTACAACACAGGACCATGGCTGCGAGAGTTTTGAAGGGAAAGTATCCACCTCGTGACGGCATGGCAGCAGCGCGAGTACAATTGCTGAAGAGCGAAACAAAAATGTGACGAGTGGGATGGCACGTGAGCGGAATGGGACTGGAGGAAGCAAGTAGCCATGTCAAGCAGGAAAGGCATCAGCGGGGGCATCCAAAAGTCGAAGACCGAGGGGAAGACTGAGCACCAGATGGTGGTGATGAGACCCTGAAGCAAATCTTGGTGGTCTAGAATTGACTTTGCAACAGTTTGGGGATCTGGCAGGGAAATGGTACAAGCCCTCGTACACACCTTCATTATTTTCTTGTCTTTACGGTATGCTTAAATGTCATATCATAGGGTTCAATATGTTATTCGAGATGGTAACTAGATCATTGTTTTTAATGAAAGCAGTTTACAGATTAAATGAGTGTGGGGTGGAAGCCACCTCCTCTTTACAGCTGTCTGAGGTATTGGTGCGAAGTCCACAGTGATATGGCTGGGGCGAGTCCTTCCCACAACATATTGCTTATATCAACCATGTAGAGACGAAGGGCTTGGTGGACTCCTAACGGGCAATTGAACTCCAGTCTGTTGGGCTTTCAACCAACAGCAACGGAATTCCAGATTGACAAGGATCTACTGAAATTTGATTCTCATCTCAACGTATTTTCCAAATAATCTCTTTACCATTCGTTGAGTACCACTTTGGTGGAAACTCAGCCGTGGTCGTTTTAAAATCGTAGTCGTTGGCTCTGCATTGGCATCAGCCACACGGCTATCCGGTCAGGTATGCTCTATCCTATTTGTGTTATCGCACTGCATTGCAGCCTGGTGGTTTGTGTCGTTGCAGTACTCGGCCGAAAATGAGGAGTTGTCACAGCATCTGGGAGCAGCTAAGGACGCTCAGAGACAGCTCACAGCTGAGGTCTGTGCCTTCTGCACACACAGCATGCATATACAGCGAACGTCCCCTTAAACACACTTGGACATTGTTTTTGCACGTGCATTTTATACGCAAGTTGTATTCAAAGTTTCCTATTCGTTTCAGAGTCATAGCGAGCAGTGTACAAATCACGTCATACCGAGGAATGGCCTCTGGAAGATGTGACAACTACTTCTGAAATAATTTCAATTGGCCTCTTTACCCACACCATGTGACACAGTATTCTCAGATGGTAAAATTTATAAACATTATTTTCAAAGGCAGAATATGTAAAACCAAGCAAAACACCAAATGTTAAATGTGATGTTTTTTTGTGCATTGGAAACCAGGCAGAGACCATCACCTCTGCGCATTTGGATCCTCAGTTGTTAGTTATCAATATTGGAGCCCGCACAGGGTAGATGAGCTGGATGTGTAGCGCCTTCCCACGGTGGCAGCCGCCCTCTGCAGAGAGGACAACACCAAAACGAGGGCGCGCTCCCAGGCGAGGTGCCCTGTCATGTGACCACGCTACCACCGCCACCACCGCCACTTTCTCTCTGCGCGAGCCGTAGAGCAGAAGGCACGGCGACCCTTCGCGTGAGCCGGTTCTCCAGCTTGTGCACCATGCTCGTAGCACGAAGGATATCACGAAGGGAAGTGAAATGCTTTGTGTGCCTGTGTGCGTACGTGAGTCTTATACACATGTGTGTGTCTGCATCTGCCAGTCATCTCAGTCTGTCAACCCATAACACCTGGGCATGTCCCAAGGCCTGTCAGCACGCCTTCGATGCCTCGCGTGGCCTCAAAGTGCATCTAGCCTAGCAAAAGCACTGTGGTGATGTCACCATCACTGAGTGGTGAATGGTGGCCGCTGTTATCTATGCGTTCCTGTGTGTATGTCTGCGCTTTAACGTACGTCGGCAGCAGTAGTGTAACGGTTAGAGCTCTGCCCTTTGTGAACCCGGCTACCAGAGTTTGATTTCCGCTTACGACCAACACCAGTGACCTATATTTCAACCGGCCCTTGGCCTCCGCTAGGTCGACTCAGATTCAAATAAGTACCTAGTGCGGTGTGTAAATATCTATTTGGATAAAGAAATTGAAGTCGCCCTTTCACAATTGGCAGCCTGGCGGTCATACAGATGAGCTGCAACTCAGCCATACTGCTAAGCCAATGCAGGCAACGACACCCTGATGTATTAGTCCACTCAATGTCAGTTTGTTGTGATATCAGCACTTGCCCCAACAGCCTGTTAAGGGTGTACGGGGGCGGGGGGGGAATCTTCGGTCTTTGTAAACGTGTGTGTGTGTGCGCGTGTGTGTGTGTTTGTCGCCCAGGTGCGGGAGCTGCAGGAGAAGCTGGCGGAGTGCACGGACATGCTACACGAGGCGCAGGAGGACGCGAAGAATCTGCGCAACCAGATCGCCCCGAGCACCACCCCGTACCGCTGGTTTCACCCGCTCGCTCAGTTCCCCCGGGTAACGGCATCGCAGAGAAACAACACGCCTCTCTCTCCCCCTTCAGCTCCTTCCCTGTGGCCCCGTTTAGCTATTCACGTGAGAGAGGTTCCATTAAGATTTTGGTCTTGAAGTGGACACAGACGCAGCCCCATCATCGCTCGGAGAAGATAATATTGGCTACAGTTTTTTGAGAATTCGACGACGATTCGAAAGGTAACAGAAAATAATCTACCAATGGAATATGGAATTTGCACAAGTGGTTGTAAGCTGTAAAGAGAGCAGCAGGCACCCCATGTTGATTTGAGCAGGAAAGCACTGACTTTGATATTGATCATGGTTCTTCCCCTGGTGGGATGGCCCCGTCGAGCGATGCAGATCGGTGCGATGAAAGAGAGATTAACAAGGGATAGAGACGACAAGGGTTGATGATGAGTGATCACGCGTACAGCCGTTATGGCATCACAATGCCACGTGAAGTTATAGTCCCTGTGCATGTGACATGCGACGTCACGTGGCCTGCCAGCAGACGCTCACACTATTTTGTGGCTCGCCGAAAGACATAGATGAGGGATTCAGACATAATAATCAAAATGTCCCCATGGGTAGTGTTTATCTATATTTTAGACCCTGAGCCAGTGTCAAAAATTATTAATTCCCATTGCGATGGTCCCTTTACTCTCAGTAAAACCACTCTGAACTTCCTACAAAGTGGTACGAATATTGAGAAGGAATGATTGGCTGCGTCGATCTGAACCGGGATTTTAACTCTGCAAATCGAGGTTTAGCTTTATAAACATGGTGCAACTCGACCTCATCACATCTTCAAGAATTATAAAATGTGCATCATTTTATTTGGTTCAAGGCTGATCGTATTTTGGAGAGACTTTGCCTTGTCATGGAAAGGTAGAATTTCCACTACTAGCTTTGAACATCAGTAGAGTAAGGACCACCCAATGCTCATTCGAGCATGGAGACATTATTATTGATGCTTTTGCTGCTTAGTGATGTTGTTGCTGATGATGATGATGCTGTCTGCTGTAGACTCATCTGTCGATATTAAATCTGGTATTTGATGACAATGATGGTGCCGTCACTGATACTAAATAGGCTCATTGCTGACGGTGATGATTCTTTTCTCGTGAATTTGTACTGATGCTTCAGGTTTGTCTGCTACATGCGGTGTTGATGATGATGAAGCTGTTGATGATGATGATGATGAAGCTGTTAATGATGCTGCAGGACTCGCTGGCGGCTGAAATCGAGGGCACCATGAGAAAGGAGTTGCGATGGGACGAGTTGGGTCACAAGTACGCGCCACGCAGCCATTTTACATCGCTGACTGCACGCACACCCCAGCACCACCTTGGCAACCATCAGCTGCACCACCACCGCCGAATTTCCAGAGGCTCGTCGATAGAGCTTCTGACTTACAATGAGAAATATTCTACTCTGGTTTTGGCTGAATTATTCCCTCAGGGTCGATAGAATGACTCTGTAGAAGGCTCGGCTTGGTGGCACGTGCCTTTGATCGAGCGCTATGGATGCAACAGCTGGGGGCTCATGCAGATTTATGAACTTTCTTTCAGGAAGGTCCCTGCAGCGGAAATTTTGCCAATCCCTTGTTAAGGTGCATTTTTAAATTAGCAGGTAATGAGCGTACCCACGGAAACCAACGCACGCCAGGGAATGAAACTCTGTGTTCACACGGGGTATGGGCTCTGTTGCTGTACTGACACCTCCTGGCCACGGCGCGGTGCAGCAGTTTGCGAGTTTCATAGCTCACGCTGGGCTCTGCGTGCCAGTTCAGTTCAGATTTACTTGGTGACACGGCCGAGTAATATTCAGCCAAAGGCTGCTTTGCAATAGAGACCCGCGTGCCAGCAGACTTGCCCATATCAATGCCATTCATGGTAGAAGGTTTTATTTTTTGCTCCATATATTCAGGTTAAACTAATGGTGTAATTTTATAATGAGACATCGTCATTTTAGCATGGAAACCTCACAGTGAACGTTAATGTCCAGCGTAACAAGAAAAAAGGCCACTGGAAGGTGACGTTACAGAACTACTGCTGCAGTGGCTTCAGTAGGCCTCTTTTCCACGCCCGGTGCTCCGTATTATTAAATGTCTGGCACATTGTGCTTGCCACATTGAGATTAACCAGGTTTTTTTTATTCGTTAGAGATGTAATATATCGACGCAATTGACACGTTAAAATTAATACAATGCCATTTTTGGGAGTCCTTCTGTGATCAGACTGAGTCAACTGGCTACTCTTGAGAGCCCAAGTTTATTGTGGATGTCTGAAACCGGCATGATAAAGCCAGGATCTATTTGGAGCTGGGTCATTGCTATGAGATGACGATGATGAACCTCCATGCCAAACCGAACCCTTCCCAATGAGTAATTTAAGCACTGGCTGCAACTTGGGATCTAGGCAGCAGGATTAGACTGGGCTGCCGGGCAACCAAACATTTCACCCGCAAGCCAATCTTGCAGTTAGCCTATCACGCACGTTTCGCAACATAAACGTCAGCTTTAGTCAGCCGGCAAATTATTTAAATCCGAGTGTGTGGTGAGTCAACTCAACGACTGGCTTACGGGCAAAATGCCCGGTTGCCAAAAACTTCCAGTTCGGTGCCAACCCCGGCTCGTCGCTCTCCTCGCAGGGGCCACCAGAAGCGCGTGTTCGACACGGTGCGCATCGTCAACCAGACGGCGCGGCGCTCCGCCTCGTGCTGCCTCTCTCCGCTCCCCATCCCGGGCTCGAACCAGACGTCGGCGCGAGCATCGCGGCCCCCCAGCGGCACGGCGTCGCCGCGGTCCGGCCTCTACGGCTCGGACTTCTCCTCCGCGGCGCTGCTCGACAACCGCATGCGCAGCCTCCTTCTGGACGTCGACGCCCTCAACCACAAGTCAGTGCTGCCCCTCGTCAGCCTCCTGCGCCCGCCCCTGCCGCCCCCTTCCTCCGAGCTTCCTTCAGCGTTCACCCAGAACCTTCCGTCAGCAGCGTTCATGGGTTCCCAAAAGCAGTATCGTTTCGTTCATGCACGCGTTCTTTCGTACGTTCATTGATTGCTGGAAGTTTGTCTTTTTTTTTTATCTTTAACGAAGCTTCGATATGGCATATCGCAGCTTGGCACGCTGCCTTGGAGCGGCTCGTATTTTTTGTTCGGGTCATTCCCCTCGAGCGTAGCGAGTCGCGTGCCCACACCTCCCTCCCCTCCCTCCCGCCCAGCGACGACAGGCGGCCGGGCCAGCCGGGCACGCCAGGCTCGCACGACCTGGAGACTGCTCTGCACCGCCTGTCGTTGCGGCGCGAGGCCTACCTGAGCGAGCGGCGCTTCATGGAGGAGGAGTGGGAGCGCCGTCTCGCCGAGCTGGCCTCGGGTCGCGCCGGCGGCGGCGGCGGCGGAAGCGATCGCCTCCCGACGCCGGGCTGCGGCAGCGGCAACGACGCCGACGGCGGCCGACTGTCGGACGGCGCTCGCTCCTCGTCCGCCTCGTCGGCGTCGGTCGATTCGCACTCGTCCATGTCGCTGGCATTCCGCTCGTACCTGCCGGACAAGCTGCAGATCGTCAAGCCGCTGGAAGGTGACGCGCCGCGCGCGGGGCGACGCTCCCTCCTGTCCTTCCTGCGGCTCCGGTCGCCGCCGTCCCCCCTTAGCCGGCCCGCGCGTGCCGCGCACGGCCTCCCCACGCACCGCACGTTCTTCTTTAAGGACAGCACGCTCGGCTGCCTCTTTGAGATCCTCTGACGCGGCGGGTTGGCGCCGGGGCTCCGTCTCCGCGGGCCACGAGCGGTGCTCGCTGTCGGCTTTAGAGGCAGGAGGTGGTGCCCCCCCCCCCCCCTCCAGTTTGAAGAGTCAACGAAATTCTGCCTCGGTTTTTTCAGTTTCAGATGAATCGTGTACATGCAGCCGATTGGAGTGCGCAAGCGTATGAAATGTGAAACTCCTCTCGTCTGCCCTCCCAAATACCAGCTTATCGATTCGCTAAAATCTATCCTTGGAGATTCGAATTATCCACGCATCGGTTCTTTATATTAACACGATGAGTAGACCATCACCCGTACGTATTGCCTGAGCACTGATCATGACTTACAAATGTAAGGAGTTTAAACAGCAGTGTCATCTTGCTCAATTATTCATTGGGCATTACTCCTCTGCATCGACTTCTCTGAGCCAGTGGTTGACATTGCTATGGCAAGGGCAGTCTATCCATGGCACAACTGCTGTTGACTTCATACAAATGAGCACTTAAAATTTCTCATCAACTCTTCTAAACAAGCCAAGGTTTCGTATGCCAAACAGGAACATGCAAAATTGCAGATTAGATAAATATATTTACATCCTAAACAACTCCTATCTTTTTTGTTATGAAGATGGTTTAACATGTACCTGTATATATTATGGCTGTTTGAAAACCATACGACCATTTTTACACTAAAATTAGTAAAGGAATCACATTGGTCAGTGAAAGCTTTTGCTGCTGATGATTGCGTCTGATGTGCTTGTGTGTCGTTTGTCACTTTCACATGAATATGTGAAGCTTTTTTTTTGTTCACCAATCACGTTTCAAATCATTCGCCACGTCCATCTGTAAATGCATTCTTCATCTCTTGTTTTTCTCTTTAAATCGTCTTTGGATTTTATTAGCAATGTGATTTTGTCTTTCTTGCCTATCGCTTGAACTTCTTTGAATGTCTTTTGTTGCATTGTTTTATTTTAATGTTATCTAATCACCTATTTGTAGCTGCCAACTGTTTTGAATTGACGGTGCATTATTTGATATATACAGGAATGCTTTGAGCTCTATTTTTTATTAGATGTATATCGTCCATCGAAGAAAATTGGATATAAATCGTTTTTTTTACCATGAGACTAGAGCAGTAGTGCTCATGTCCATTGGTGACCCCGAGCCTCTCAAGGAAATTCCACATTCTCAGGGTGACGGCCTGGACAACCGCTCTTGACTATCCAAGAGCAGTTGCCGGCACGGGAGGATGGTGTCCCAAGTCGACCCACAACTAGGAGTTGAACTTATTGCATTTTGGTTGCGAGTTGGATGATGGAACCAAAGTGCCAACCTGGCTGGATGAACCTAGCTGGATGAGCCTGGCATCTTCCTCGAATATTAATGTTCGATCGTGATCCAGGTTTGGTCGCAGAATCACTGAGGCTCAGTGTCTGCTCCTTTGCCGTCCCCTCTGCTATGAACATTTGCTCACTCATTGGTCTGAGACAAAATCCAACAAAATCAAGAGTGCTATTATGGCCAAAAATCAGTGTTGCCTTTGACTTTTAAAAGTTGGCAGCTATGTAATAAGGCCTTGGCTTTGGATTCGTTTTTTTACATTTTTGCAATCAAAATTATGACATTTCATTTGCTGAATTTTTTTAAAGCATTCATCTTGTAAAGATGTTAAGATATGTCCTTTTCAGCCTGAAAGCATTCTTTGTTAAATTTGTGTGTTTTTGATTTCTGTACCTTATTTTTGGCTTCTTTATCATTAATTTATGATTAAAAATTATGCCTCAGCCACTGCCTGGTGCTCTATACATTTTGTCCATCTCCAATCAATACCGTTATATGTGAGACGTGATTTGTACGTGCTACTTTCGCTCAGAAATCTCACCGTTTTAATACACAAAGAAATGTATATTGAGAAAAACTGGAAAATATTCATTTGGGGGGGGGGCAGTCCTCTTGAATCATGCAAACATCATTGTCTGAAAAACTTGCAGAGCTGGTGGATATTTCCCGTCCCAGCGGCAGTGTCTGTTCTCTCTCCATATGTTCACAGTTCACAAAGCGATTTACATTTCGTCTACACCAGAGGGAAGTTGGGCTGATGAAGGCCGCTTGTGTTGTGGCCGAAACGTCGTGAGAATTTTATTGTGTTATTTTATTTTATCAATTATTATTCTTTTATTCTCATTCTACGTGAGCTTTACCGAAAGAACCAAAGAATATGAATCCCTGCAGTCACGAAAGTTTTTATCGAAATTTAGCCCTCCTTTTGTGAATTAAACACACGACCACAATGCCACCTGACCAGATATTCCATCTGAACACGTGTGTGTGTGTACATGTCCATAACAAAACGTTGGTAAGAGATCGACTGTCGTGAACGTGACCACCTGCATTACTTCCTGCCCTCCACATCCAACACGACTGTTTACGTGAAGCGTTAACTTTACACAAAGTTCATAACAGTCACTGCCACCACATCGTTTTGTGGCCCAGCGTGACTCTGCCCCGGTTGTTTTTTTGAGTCCATCTGACGACACACGTGTGTGAATGTGTGGTCCATGTGGGAAGCGGTGGTGCAGTCGCTAGTGCACTCTGCAACAAACCCAATGACCTAATTGGAATTCCTGGCTATGGCCGACGTCACTGGCGAGTGATATCTGAGCCAGTCTGGGGCCTGTGCGAGGACAGCTCCTCCGTACACGAGTACTTGGTGCGAAATGTAAACATCGACAGTGGGGAGACAATGGTGGGCAGGCATGATGCTGGCTACACTCATGCACTGTGCTGGTCCTAATAGGTGCTTCACTCAATATAGTCTGTTAAAGTATTTGTCCCAATAGTTTGTTAAAGGCTACACAAGGGGGGGGGGATATTTGTATTTTTTGTGTGTATGAACCTGGATATGTCGATTCAATTTCATTTAATGGCAGATGGTGTATGAACCTATCTTGGTTGTTTTATAGGTCAACCTAGCCAGGTTTAGTGTAACCTGTGGCACTGTGGAGACAAAGGCAGACACTTGTGATGCTGGCCACACAACCACTCAATTTCCATGCGAGCATTCATAGGTGTTGACCAACACCATTTGCTCTTAAAGGCATTTGCACGTGTATTTGTGTGTGAATACATCTGTATGCCAACTGGAGGTTTGAGTTCAACACTGCAATCCCAGCCGCCCTGATTCAGCCGTGGGTAACACACGCGGCAATCGATATCTGAACCTGGTCCTGGTTAGCGTCATCCCAAACAGGGGCGGAGCCAGGATTTCAGGCCGGGGTGACATTCAACAAATTTTAATTTCAAGAATGATTAGAGTCAGGCTGTTGAACTAGACGCCATCGGTTGGCGACACACTCTGGTGACAATGCAGTTGCACGGAGTCCGCCAGACCGAGTGTCGTACACTTACACGCAGAATGTCACCCCTGTCACCCCCCCTGGCTCCGCCCCTGATCCCACACAAATGAATACTCGCCGCAGTATTTACACCGTCGGCGCCGGGCAGACGAACGTGGCCACCGTTTTGCAGTGCCCACCCTCGATGGGCCGGGGTCGGGGGGGGGGGGCGCGGCGGGGGCTGTGTGGGGCCTCTCCAGCAGCGCTTGCTGTGACAGGGCGGCGTCCCGCAGGGCTGAGCGGGGGATTCCGTGTCGCCCTCTGCCGTGCTTGAGCAGGCTCCATGACGCTGCAGCAGTGGCAGCAGCTGGCCCAGCCGCACCTGGGCGGGATCCTGGACGCGCGCCCCGGCGTCATCACCAAGGACTCGTGGCCGACCCTCCCCCCGCCCTCGTGGGGTCATCCCATCTACCGGATGAGCGACTACGAGGAGGAGGAGCCAGGTGAGGCCGCTTCGTGGCCACTTCACCGGCCGCCCGTCCCCCCTGCCGCGGCGCGTCCGCTTGCGGAGGCCCGTGGTCTTTCGCCTTGGATACCGCAAATCTCTCCCCTGCGACCTCGCCCCCCCCCCCCCCAAACTCCAGATGACTCTGAAGTGCTGTTGCCAGACTTCTTGCTCGTGTCCTCGAGCACGGACCACAGCGCTCCAGTCCTCAGGTCTCTCCACTGGCTCCTCCCCAGATCGGTGACAGGATCGCTCGCACCCTCTTCATGATCCTCCAAGGACTGGCGCTTGCCCACCGTCCCCCCAATCGTGGATGTAATGATTCACCAATTGCCATTATTCAGTGCCACGAGTCTGTTCATGACTCAATTCTTATTTTGGCAGGTAAAAAATAACTTCTACATGTATATGAGTAAAAGAATAATTGATGTTCACATGCACTGTTCGATGCATGTATTGTGAGCGTAACGATTGGCTTCAGCCGGTGAATTGTTACATCTTCTCCTGTCCACGTGCCAGTGGTTCCAACAACCAACCTGTCAAATCCCCTGGGCAATCTCAATTGGAATATATTTCCACCTGCGGGTCTCATGCCCTTGTAGTTCAAGTTCAAGGCCAAGACGTTCCCCTCCTCCTCATCCATTCTCTTTTCATTAACACGCTACGATGGTGTTCTTTACTCGGTGCCTGGTACCCTCATACTCTACACCTACCTTCCCACTAAACAGTCCCTTTCAAACATTGTCTCTTTCCTTACCTTGCCTACTCGTCATTGCCCTTGGTTATGCCGTCTTAAGACGTGATTGTGTATAAACACTTTACGAGTGCATATGCCCGTAGCCCAAGTTCCATTTTACTTTGTCCTGCCGTCATGCCAACCCCGTGGTCTCATTAAATCCCTCGCGTATCCTTCATCATCTCGGGTGACACAGATCCACTCCACGTGTGCGGGGAAAAATAGGCAGTTTTATTCCAGGAAGCCACTTCTAGAGGGTGACTTGGAAAGTAAGCATTCTCCAAGTCATCAACCAGTCTCTGACAGCTGATTACGTGGTTGGTATTTTTAAAAAGTATTGCAATGTGATTTCTGGGGGTGACACCGAGAGGCTGGCGACCCAGGAGGGGATGTGAAGCTGGATGGTGGGATACTGCAAGAACAGTGAAGAGGCGTCATCTCACGTTTATGCAACAGAAGTGAGATCTAGCATGAGGAATGAAGTTATGACAAGGTTGGCCATAATCATTAACATAGACCCTAATGACCTCTGGACCGTGACCTTCAGTGTAGCGATTGATGGTAACCAGGGGCTGCCTGGCACATTTTCCCACCATTGTCCAATGCTTAGCATGAAGTCCCCGGTGAGAACAATTCATGTGTTTCACACCCACTGCTATCCCTTACCTCCCGTCCCTGACCTTCCCCCCCCCCCCACCGTTTGTTCCCCCTGTTCTGCCCCCAGTGTACTTCCCCGGCAAGTGCGTGTCCCAGACCAACTACACGTATACGTTCACCACGTGTCGAATCATGCACCCCTCGGATGTGACGGCCATCACCACCAGGTGAGCCCTTGCACTCGCGATGATGCTCGGGACTTGGTGTCGGATGATGCTGCTGTTGTGCCATCCCAAAGATGCATCCCCGCTCCTGCATTTGCCATTGTGAATGAGGCAAAGCTGCTATGGGCAAAAAGCCTGTGGCCTGGTATAGAGAGGGATGGCTGGCAATGTAACCGTGTTGTTGTTGTTTTGTTGTTGTTGTTCTACATAGTCCCCTTGTAGTGCGGTGCTCTTGACCGTGTGGCATGTTGAACAAGAAGAGGACGATATGAAGCGTCAGTGTAGAAACATCAGCCACGAATGTTAAATCCACCTTCTGTAATTGTGAAACTGTCACAATCGTGAATACGTTGCTGCGGTCACCTACACTTCCATTGTAAACTTGCTCGTGTGTGTCAATAGGCTGCCACCTAGTTAACTCGATGACATTAAATTGATTTTAGAGTGCTCAACAAAAGCCACAAAGATCGTTAATTAAAATCGGAGTCCGCTTTTCACAAACTGTAAAGCATGTTCTCATGTTTAGTGAGTTTGATGGCCTCAGTAAGGTCACCAAAGTCTGCACAAAAGCACATTCATAATTGAGTCTTAACGTCATTTCATGAGGTGTACATCCAAAGAGAGCAAAGTTGTAGTGGCTCTGCGATGTAGATCATGAAGGATGACAATTAGAAGCCAGTGATGTCACTTCTAGGAAAAAGGCTTTACTTTGAAGGAGATTCTCATGGAATATATTTTAATTTACAAATAGGAATACATTTCGGAATATAATTTCGATTAAATGGGCTACAATAAAATGAAATGAATTGAATTAAATAAGTTGAATATTTCAAATTAATGTATTATATCTCACAAATGTAAATAGTAATTATAAAAAAACACATGCAATTGTGTCTCCCTGCTCAAATTGTCAGGAAGACCACACCCCTATTAGGTGGCCTTGAGCCAGTGGTGCAAATTCCACATTCCCATGGTGGGGGCCAGTCTTGTTGTACCATCACCACCATGGACTTCCCACAAAGTAGTCTCACAATATTGACTTAATGAGTATGATGGGCTGAGTGAAGCCACAATGATTAAACCCACCCCTACCACACACAGTAGCCCACCTGTAGGGGTCAGTATTATTCCAGTTCAGTCATTGATGAAGACGCCTAGACGTCTGCTTATTGGTGGAGATTTGGTCAAGCGTTAATTCTCCAAGACACAATTACAGATTTGATAATGGTACATTTGGGCATTATGTGGAGTTCTTAAAATTAGTAGATATATAAAGGTATGTAAAAAAATAACATTAATGGCATTGAGTACAATCGGCTGCAAATGAATATTTCTGTAATATATAAGTAAGCTGACATGCACAGCAGACGTGCCTACAGGATATGTACTAAGAATGTAAAAAATCATTAAAATCGAGTATTTTCCTCATAATATCTGTCTCAATTGCATGCAAAACATTAACAATCCAATATTATATTATATTCATGTGTATTGTTTGTGATTGGCTCATGGAAACCAGACAGCTACTTTAGGTTTGACCATGAGCCACAGGGACAACACAAATAATCAGTTAATCACGAGTTTAAATGTGACACCGCATATTATGACAATTCACAAATAATCAGTTAATCACGAGTTTAAATGTGACACCATATATTATGACAATTCATTGAGATGGTGAATTATTATTAGCCTAATTTACACCTAACTGTGAGAAGTGTTCAGTTATCACCACATTTTTCAAGTGCAAGCTCTAAGTTAGTAGAGCACATGCAAATCAGCACCTTACTGCGTGGGATGCTCACTTACTAAAGTTTTTCGGTCAGAGTACAACACAACTTTGGGATGTATTGGTTTCATGATTTAATATCTGAGGTTCAGAGAACCACAATTAACACTTTCAGAACGTTAGTGTTATTATTCTTAGCTCTTTCGGTAAAGTCACGTTGAAGGGAAACAATAAAATAACGTGACTTTACCGAAAGAGCTAAGAATATGAATTACTGCAGTCACGAAAGCTTTAAATCAAAACCTTAGTGTTCTTTATTATTTCCCAAAGTTCAGACTGTTCCATGGCTATATAGCTGCGGGAAACCCACCGGTATATTCCATAAACTGAATTACAGGTCTTTTGAAAAACGATTTGTTTCTGCAATGAGCGCTGTCCTGGTTATATAGGGTGTGTTTTTATATATTTATGTGCAGTGGTTATTATATGAACTGGTCCTGGGCCTCTCTTGAGGTCGATTGAACATTAAATGAGTACCCGGCACCATGTGTGAACATCAGCGCTGGAGAAACAAAGGCAGCCGGGCATGGTGTTAGCCACCCACCCACGCCATGCTGAGCTTTCATTAATGCTTGCTAACAGCACGTACTCCAACAGTCTATTCATGGGTATACATGCGATGTTTGTCTTTGTCATATATGCATGTATCCGTCTGACGAACAGCGTTGCAGTGGTTAATCCACTAAACTAAGATCTCAGTGAATGTTTCCTCCTGTGATGCACATAGCCTTTAACAGTTGGAATATGAGCCTGACGGAGGTCTACCCTCGATTGACTCAACCGGAGTTAAATTCTTAGCAAAGGGCATGGCCATGGCCACCCTTCCCCCATCGTGTGCCATGCTGGCTATTATCACGTGCTCACTAACAGCACTTGCTGCTAACGTCTATAAACGCTGGATGGGGGAATTGCCATCTTCGTGTGATTCTCTTAAGTTCACACTTTATTTTTTACCACTGACTGTGCGTCGTTTTGTAGCCTTTTCTGCACGACGTTATCTTTGATGCGCTTCACTGTTTTGTTATACTCAGGCTTTGGCTGAAATGTTTCATGAAGCCGTCTAAATTATAAACGGTCAACAACGAACAGTAAGACACTGCTACATTCAAATCCGCCCGAGCGTAGCTTTAGACCAAGCGATTATAACCCTTCCTGTAGTGTGTGCTATCGGTAGACCTCTACTAACACGGTTATGGAAACAATCCTGTTTAAATATGCCTTTAAATCTTCTGCTTTTAAAAAATCTACGCTCATTAATGCTGATTTTATGGACTGTTATTCTTTGGTGCCGTGATTTACAATGATTTAACTCCACTTCGCTCGCAAGTAGAGATTAGCTTGGTTGAAAATTGCCATCTGTGATCTTGGGCTCAGGGTGCCAGAGCAATCTGCTTCGCTTATTGCAGTACTCTTTGTTGATGATGAAAAATCATTGCAATATTTGGAGGACAATGCTTAATAAATGTGTATATACGCGTGGATGTGCGCCTACAGTGAGTCAAGCCAATGAAGCCGGTGTCTCTGCACACGCGAGAAATGGGGCAGAAAAAATCTCCTTCAGTTGCCCCAAGCCAGTGATGGAAATTCTACATTCCCTTGGCAGGGGGACCAGTTTTTTTCCCCATCATATAATCACCGTTGACTTCCCACAAAATGGTACTCAGGTTTATTGAACGTGGAGGGATGATATGTTAAGTGAAGCCACAACTGGGATGATGACACGCAACTTTCTGGTTGTGGGTCAAGTGCTCTCATCATCAGAACAATTAATGGACATTTATGATTATTACTCAGATGCAGCTGTGTGGTTATATTTAATCAGGGATCAAATCAGCCCTTCATCCATCTAGGCTTGATACAAATTAGTGCTACATCGTACACGGTGGTCCACGGTGGTTGTCCTGTGGAAAGACTTGCCCCCTGTTATCAGCAAGTGACATTTCCATGACTGGCTCAGGGTTGAAACAGGAGATGAGAAACCACGTCGACTTGACGTTGTTAACCACACAATGCACTCTCTCTCTCTCTGGCTCAGTGGCATTGTGCGTGTAGTCCTCGACTCGCTATGTTTTGGGCATGCAGACAATTTGACCTTGACTCCCTTGGCTGCACAACTTCAGAATCAGAATATTTATTTATTTTATCTGATATCCAGTAGGGGCGGGCCAGAACGTTACAACAACAAATAATGCAAAAAGACGATAGGAGTGCAAACTATAGGAAAGGTAAAATATCAATTTCATAAATATACAAATAAAACTAAACAATTGTTATCTTACCAGACAAAGCCCACTGAACTATGAACTTATTCTTCAGAAGCGACCCGGCCAGAAGTGATAGCTCAACAAAGTGGCTTACCACGTGGAACTTTATGACAGTAAAATAATCTAAATAATCTTAATAACAACTCCTGGCTGCCCATCGTATCATGGGCGTTGCTTCACACATTGATCCTGTCACACGCTCCTCTTCCCCGCAGCGGATCTGGCAGCCCCGCCACCAGGCTGTTTGACAGCGTAGCGTCCAGCCCCGTGCCGTCCCGCCGCGCCAGCCTCGCCGAGTCCTTCACCAACGCCCGCGAGTCGACCCGGACCTGCAGCGCGAGCCTGCGTCTGCCGGAGCTGCTGCAGGAGCGTGGCATCTCTGCCGCGTCGCTGCCGCCGCCGCCGCCCCTGGCGGAGCAACGGCAGCAGTTAGCCGCCGCGCACGGCATGACGAGCCGCCCCCGAACGTTGCCCCTGGCCACGGCTACACCGCCCAACTCGCCTCTGCGTGCCGACTTGCCCTCTCCGCTCTTGTCGCCGCTCGCTTTCCCGCCGCTGGGACAGCCGGCCGAGGTGTTCCTGGCCTCCAAGCCGGCCACGGCCGTCCTCAAGGAGGTCATGGGTCAACAGAGGCTGACGAGCAACACGGGAAGCCAGACGGAGCTCAGTGCCAACCACTTCACTCTGGTGCAGAGGCTGAGGAAGCTGGGCATCGGCTCATCGAACGTGGGCGTGCGCGGCAGTGGTAGCGCAAGCAGTGGTGGCGATGACGGTGGTGATGCCGACAGCGGTCGTAGTCGTGATGGTGATGGCTGTGATGGTGCTGCCGCTGCTACATCAGCATCAGCGGTTGCCAAGCCCTTGGCTGCGAAGTACGTGCAGATACTGGAGCGACTCACGCAGTCATTCGCCGGACGGCTGCGACCTGCCCTTGCGGGCATGACGGATTCGATTCGCGGAGCTGGCGAGAGCAAGTGCGGACATCATCACAGCAGCGGAGACCACGATAGTTGCACGGGCAGGGAAATTACGGATCCCGACGCCTGCCGTCGTGTCACCGGCCCCGAAGTGCCGTGCAGTGGCCTCAAGAGGTCTGCTGTCCGCCCCGACGAAGTTGAATCGCGCGAGTCGAAGGTGGCAGCTGTTGGTCTCGCCTGCGCACTGGGGTTCACGGATAGCAGCGAGCCTGCACGGGTCCACTTGCGCGGGGCTTGTGGAGATGACGACCGAGCCGACCGTTGGAACGCTGAGTGTGACTTGGTGAACACCAAGTTGGCGGAAAAGCCAGTGTCTAGGCACGGGATGAAGCGGTCTCTGAGCCTGAACAGCGCGATGTTGATAGGGGGAAGGTCTCCCATGCAGACCAGCCCTCCAGGGCTGGCTGGGATCATGGAACTCTAACAAGCGATCTCGGCGATGCGAGCAACTGAAGTGTGCGTGACGACACGCGCAGAATGCACCGTGTAAATATCGTGTGCCTAACTGTATTATAATGAAACGCAATTGTTATATTGCATGGATGAAAACGGCCTTCAATTGGTGCATTGTTATGGCAGTTGTTGTGTAGTTAACAAAGTTAACAAGTGTGTTCGGATTGCATTTAAATACCAAAAGTTAAGAACAAAACAAGGACGACTGCGATTTTCATGTACATCGTTTGTTCCATATTGCACTTGAATATGTCCATATTTTATCTTCTCTACGTGTATAGGGGGTGTGGTTGTATAGGGGGGGGGGTGGTATGTCTTCATTTTGCTTGTATATATGTACATTTTTTATTACTTTTATTTTCTCATCTGGTACAGTTACACGAAGCACATGTTTATAATCACCCTGGATACACTCGTTGAGTTTACAGTGCTTCCATCAACACCGTCAGCTTATATTTTTTGATTTAAAGCTTTCGTGACTGCAGTAATTCATATACTTAGTTTTTTCGGTAAAGTCACGTTGAAGAGAAACAACAAAATAACAAAATATATATGAAACAATAAAAAATTCTCACGACGTTTCGACCATAACTCAAACGGTCATCATCAGGTGTGTCGGTTTGCATAAATTTATTTTAAAAAAACGTTGGCGTCACACGCAGCGATTGGCAGTTTGCCCAGGACTAGTCCATCTATTTTTTTTTAAAAGAGGAGGGGGAGACGAAATTTTTTATAATGTATGCTGTCTGAAAGCCACTGTAAGCATGAACAATCAATCAAGAACTGAAATGATTTATCAAATCTTTCCAATGATTGCTAAGATAGAATCCATCTTCTCGGTTGAAATTGTCTCTGTGCTTGTATATGTGGATAGCCTCATGAACGAATCTCTCATGGAAGCCAGATGGCTTACAAAGAACCTCCGTCTTGGAAAAGTCAATGGCATGTGAGCCTACTGAATTAGAACAATGATCTGCTACGGCCGAGGTGTTGGTCCTACATTGGAGAAACCAAACGCCATGTCTCGGACCGCATTCGTGAACATAAAGCAGACCTTAAACACGGTAGGACCAACACCTCGGCCGTAGCAGATCATTGTTCTAATTCAGTAGGCTCACATGCCATTGACTTTTCCAAGACGGAGGTTCTTTGTAAGCCATCTGGCTTCCATGAGAGATTCGTTCATGAGGCTATCCACATATACAAGCACAGAGACAATTTCAACCGAGAAGATGGATTCTATCTTAGCAATCATTGGAAAGATTTGATAAATCATTTCAGTTCTTGATTGATTGTTCACGCTTACAGTGGCTTTCAGACAGCATACATTATAAAAAATTTCGTCTCCCCCCTCCTCTTTTCAAAAAAAAATAGATGGACTAGTCCTGGGCAAACTGCCAATCGCTGCGCGTGACGCCAACGTTTTTTTTTAAATAAATTTATGCAAACCGACACACCTGATGATGACCGTTTGAGTTATGGTCGAAACGTCGTGAGAATTTTTTATTGTTTTATATATATTTTGTTATTTTGTTGTTTCTCTTCAACGTGACTTTACCGAAAAAACTAAGTATATACCGTCAGCTTATGTTTATCGCTATAGTTGTAAGCAGAAGAAACCTTTAACATCAGCACTTTAACAGAGCATTACTTTCAACATCACATCCACCTTCAAAATGTTATTTTCTGCGATGCACAGAAAACATGCAGCGCATTACATATTTAAATTATCCACCACACATGTTAAACCAGGACCTATTTTAACACCCAACACCATGCATCCCAAACTGTAGAAGACGGTGTGGTTTTAAGCTGAATGCAACATGCAAAGATTAAATGACAGCATTGACAAAGCCAAGGGCCCTCCAGCCAAGGTTATGGATTACTGCCAGGATAAGTGCTCGCATGGGAAATGGAACTAGGATGAGGGCAGGAAAATCATCCAATCTTAAGGTTTGAAGATCTCGAGATACAAAAAGAGACATCGAGGAAGAGTATGATGGAGAATAAGCATTTAAATAGTTGGTAAAACAGAGCAGTGTACATGGGAGGGGAAAACAAGAATGAGTTGTCCTGAATATGCGAGACAGCGGAACAGCAGGAAATGCGAGTGGGAGGAAGATAACACAAAGGTGTTGGATCAGCAGATGATTAACACCTTGCCATGACCAGTTTTAAACTGACAACATTCACACTGGTTTAGGCTTCCATGGACCGTTCAGCCTGTTGTCGCCAATTCCCCAATCCCTGCGGTGGAACGGACCGTGCGAGGATGAACCTTTGGTGGGAAAGATTTCGTGAGGTTAGGTGGGGTAATGTATGGCGGGTTGTCGTTTTGCAAATAATTCCTTAGGTCTAAACCTTACACTATGAACTAAAACATTTTTTTTTACTTTTTCATATATTAAGGTTGAGTTTGCAATTTTAAAATCGAATTTGTTTTCTCCATTTGTTGCTGTTTTAAAAGAAATGTGGTTATTGAACGACGTGGTAAACTTGTGCTTCTCACCTAGGAAATACAAATACAACTATGCCTACCATTCGAATAACCCACACTGGTGCTGTTCGGGTAAACAGCCAAGGTGACCCATTTTTAATTGGCTGCCTAAAACTGGTCATGGGAATGAGTCGGAAGTGACCACTCGCACTCGTGGTGGTCACAGGGGCTTGTGGCCTGGCCCGGCTGCAGGGCATCGAATGAGCGTGCAATATCGCAATCCTTGGTCTGAAGCAGACGGACGAGCCATGCGCCCTCGTCTCGAGAAGCACGTGGAAAGCGTCTGCGGCAGAGCTTTTCGACCGGACGTGGCTTGGCGTCGTTAGGGAGGATAGGGTAAGCAGCGGCCTCCCTCGGTCCTCCGTCGTCCTCCTCGCGTCATCCCCAGGTGTCACATTGGTCCACTCATCATTGCATCATCGCCCCCCCCCCCCTGCCGCCCCCCCTGCCCGTGAGCCCTGCATGCTGTCTCTGGTGTTGTCAACCGTAGCCGTGGTGGCACCTCCACCCCATTGGCCCCGCACCAGTCTCCCGGTCCCGAGCCGGGGGCGTGGCTTTGTCATTGTCGGCGACTTCTTCGGCGGTTTCCATCCCAAGTTCATCGTCCTCGGACTGAACCCTGCCCCTTGGCCTCATCTCCCTTTCCCTGCCCCTTGGGATCCTCCTCCTCCTCCTCACCGTTGGCCTTCTGCTTTCCTGAGCGTGCCCCCCCTGGTCTCCCGAGTCCCACAGCCGGCACGAGCACCACAGCGACATCGTTGCCCACCGTGCTCTACGTCGACGCTCACGTCAGTGCCACGAGGGCCCAGCATGGCCGCCACGTTCTCTCCGATTTTCTGCAGGAAGTCCGCTGCAGGGTTTTGGCTGCTCTCCTTCAGCGCCTGGTTCTCCAGCCTGGGTGGCTCCAGATAAAATTGAGCTTTTATGCATAGAGGTTCCCAAAGCTTGTAGAGGCCCCAGCACTTGTGCTAAATCCCCTCCCATGGGATAGCACAACCTCCAACATGCATGGCAGCCAAAATCAAAGGAATGTCAGGGCCCTTGGGAGCCACGGCATCCGTGTCGTCCATGTGGTCAAGGGGTACCACGTGGCCCAGGGGCACCATGTGGCCCAGGGGCACCATGTGGCCAAGGGGCACCACGTGGCCGAGGGGCGTCAACCCACGCCCAGGCGCGAGGCTCTTGCTGCTGCCAGTTAGGGAAGTGGATGCCCTCTGTGCCCTCCGTTCCGTCCATGCTCGCTGTGCCCACCGTGCCCACGCCCTGCACCCTGATCGAGTTTGATGTACGCGCGGAACACATCCTCGGAAAGGTTGCCCAGAGCTTCCATAACATCCTGGTCACTGGAGAATGCGATGAATGTCATCAAAATCCTTGTAATGAATGGTGAAGCCTGCATCGGCCGAGGATGGGAAGGCCTGGGCAATGTTCCCCTTGCGGTAGATGAAGCTGCTGCTTGCATCCACGTCCATGGCCACGTGGCGAGTCTCCGGACGAGACACGTGCTGGTGCAGCAAAATAACCATTCACGGTGAAGGCCATTGTTGATATCGGTCGGCGAAGGGGCCGCCTCGCTACACTCGACAAGGGACAGCTTGTTACGGTCAGCCGAGAGAGACTATGGTGGGAGCGAGAGGATCAGAGACTTCTCATTGAGCTTGCTACTGACACTGTTTATGTGCGATGCGCCACTAACATGGTGCCCCCCCCCCCCCTCCGTGTTCGTTGTATAAAGTGTATATAATATGTACATATTTAACAAATAATTTGTATGTGCTCAAAAGGAATGTAAAGCTTTACTGCCAGTTGTGCTTCGAACATTGAATCCTTTGTCGCTTGGTGTTAGATGATGCCACTCAACATGTTTTTACTTTGATTAAAACGAAGGGAATGCTTATGATAGCAAATGCAGACAGTTGGTAGGGTAGTACAATATGCACTTTTTGAAACAATGAGGCCGAATTGTGAATATTAAAATGAACTGAAAGCGTACTTGAAAAGTGGACTAGCTATGCACTTGGAGTATACATTGGAAAGCTGCGTATGTATTCATGCACACGGGTTTATCCTCAAGTGTCGGCATTGAAACTAGTCCCTACCTGTGGGGAAACCGCAATTCACGTGTTTCAAATGGGAATTCTAGATGATACTGGGCTGCTGAATGTGACCTGGGAACACTTTCAAAAGTAAAATCGAAGTGTCTCCCTGCTGAAGTGAGCATGGGGTGATGGTCATATCCATTGGCGCGACCCTGACCCCGCGGATTAAATTCCACATGTTAAGGGTGGGGGGGGGGGAGCACCAACACATGTTACGTAACCCTTGAATCGTTTAACAGATTAAAGGCCTGATGCAGGAGGGGGTGAACTGAAGGTTTAACTAATCATCACATCATCCATTACCAGCCTCCTGCTGAATGAAGGCCTCAACCACATTGTTACCATCCGTCACGGCCTTGCGAGTGATCCACCTCGCTCCTGCCTGCCATACACGCGGTTGGCTCATCCCCCCCCCCCCATCCCTGTGGCGTTCGTGTCTCGTGCGCGTGTCTCTTCTGTTGGCTGCCAATGCATCACCAGGCTCCTCCATTGGCCATCACCCTTTCTGTCCATCTCTCCTGCTCGAGGCCACTTACGCTTCTTAGCAGTCAATACGATGTCTCAGTAATTTGCATCGATTTTATGGTTATTGAGTTCCGCTACTCTTCCAGCGTCCACCTTTTCGATTCGTGTATCTATCGTTCGTTAAAATACTCAAATGTCAGCTTGTTCGATTGAGCGTGGGGTGGCGCTCCTCACCTTTGATGGCCCTGAGCAGTCGTGGAAATTCGACATTCATGTGGCAGGGTCCAGGCTGTCCATAGGAAGGAGAGTTGGGCGCTCTGCCACAGTGCCATTCAGCCAGATTAATAATATGCATGCTTGAAACTTGAATTTGGAGCTTTCGTGACTGCAGGAATTATTCTTTGTTTTTTTCGGAAAAATCACGTAGAAATAATAAAATAACGAAACGTCGTACACTATTATGTTATTTTATTATCTCTACGTGACTTTACCGAAAAAAACAAAGA